GACCTGGTATATGGTTCTTGTACCCATTTACATGTGGATTTGGTATATGGTTCTGATACCCATTTACATGTGGACCTGATATATTCTGGTACCCATGGTATAGATGATTACCATGAGGAGATGGCCAATGTTGGTTTGACAATTCCAGTGCATCTAGTCTTTGCTTTAGGGAGTTGTACTCTTCTATTAAGGCTGTAGATGTTTTCCATACTTTTTATTTTAGATTGCAGGCGTTGAGTTTCTAGGTGCATTGGAAAATCTTCTGTGATATGCTCTGTATGTTGTTGGAGCAGGTCTGGGTTTGTAATATCATTATTTACAACATTAGTAGGTGTACTATCTACATTTCCAGCTACATTAATTCTAAGAATTATATTGCTATTCTCTAGTTCTTTAATTTTACCTTCTAATTTCATGATGTATGCTTGAAGTTTAGCATTTTCGGTTGAATTTTGTGAGTTTGTGGCATTTTGTTGTTTGAGCTCTTCTTCCCATTTCTTTAAACGGAGCTCCTTTTGTCTTAGTTCTTTTTCTTTAAGATTTAGTCTTGCTTCCACTGTTTTGGTTTGTTTTACAGGCTGCTACAGTATCAATGGCTTTGGATGTTGATTTTGGCAGGTTATTTATTACCGGTTCTATATTACTACTCAGGGTTTGATTATCGGAGTTGACTGATGGATTTGAGTTTTCAGTCATATTTCCAGATCTGATGTTAACTTCCTCAAACAGTATTGATTCCGCCAATGTAACAGGAGGGCAATCAATTGTGTTGTTCTGTTGGCTCTGTTGTACAAGCGGAGTTTCCCCAATACCATCTGGTGTTGTACTCTTGTAGTTATTAGGAGGGGGTAGGCTAGTATATCTGCTTATACTGGATGCCTCTTGACTCTGTTTTTTTGTACATATTATACATACATACGGAACATCAGGAGATTACTCTAATGTATTTATTTGTTCCTTGGTGAGTTTTTCACAATTGAAGTGGATCCAATGGTTACCAGCAGAGCATTCAATACATTTACTCAGACACTTCCTGTTACATTTTGGACAGATATCTATTTTTTATCAAATTTTGACATCAACAGTATCGTGATTTGAAAAATGAGCTTGAATACATTCAGCAAAGTGTAAATATGCAGCTGGCGTAAATTCTAGAACAATGTTACCATGCTTATATTCAAAATGTACATCAATGTCTCTTTCTGTCGCATCAATGAGCTTTTTAACAACTTTTTTCTCATTAAGAATATAGTTTTTAACTGTTATGTTGGTCTTTGATGGTGTGAAGACCTGGGTAGATATCCTGTCCCTTGTTGACCTTAATACTCTATTTTCTTCTATTTTACTGTGTTACCCGAAGATAGAGAAGACAATGGAAGATTATTGGATGACGGTTAGGAGTGGTGTGGAGTGGAGGTTCCCACTCTTACCAACTTGGTTGCTATTTCTGTGAATTTCCTATTTATGATATTGTTTGCTGGGCCGTATAAAGAAGACTAGAGACAATGGAGAAGGTTATACATCGGGTAACTATGGTGTGGAGTGGAGGTTCCCACTCATACCAACTTGGTTGCTATTTCTGTGAATTTCCTATTTATGATAATGTTTGCTGGGCCGTATAAAGAAGACTAGAGACAATGGAGAAGGTTCCTGTTTACAAAAGTATGAATTTTTCGAAGTACTAAGGATTTTCTTATCCCAGGCATAGATTACCTTAGCCGTATTTGGCACAACCTTTTGGAATTTTGGGTCCTCAATGCTGTTCAACTTTGTACTTGTTTGGCTTTATTACTATTTTGATCTGAGCGTCACTGATGAGTCTTATGTAGACGAAACGCGCGTCTGGCGTATTAAATTATAAGCCTGGTACCTTTGATTACTATTTATACCTCGGTAACTGTTGTGTGGAGTGGAGGTTCCCACTCGTACCAAATAAATCGCTATTTCTGGTTATGATTTAGTAAGTGTCAAACCCTGAGTACCTGAGTATAGAATGTTGGTTAAAAATGGTGTGGAGTGGAGGTGCCCACTCGTACCAATGAGACGATGTGAGATTTCTAGACAAGGCAGCAAGAGAATACTAGAGAATGCAATACGGGAGTATAAAATGTTGGTGTTTTAATGGTGTGGAGTGGAGGTTCCCACTCGTACCAAATAAGTGGATATTTCTGTTTATGCTGATGTTCAATGTTTGATGATCTTGAGACGATGAGAGATTTTTAGACAAGGCAGCGAGAGAATACTAGAGAATGCAATACGGAAGTATAAAATGTTGGTTTTTTAATGGTTTGGAGTGGAGGTTCCCACTCGTACCAAATAGATCTCTATTTCTGGTTATGCTAATGTTCAGTGAGATGACGAGAGAATACTAGAGAATGCAATACGGGAGTATAGAATGTTGTTTTAGAATGGTGTGGAGTGGAGGTTCCCACTCGTACCAAATAAGTCGCTATTCCTGTGAGATATTTGCTTATATATATAAATGCTAATGCTTGCTGAGCCGTGAAAATAATGCAATGAATATCAGAATAACAGAAGTTGGTTTATGATGGTGTGGAGTGGAGGTTCTCACTCGTACCAAAGAGGTCGCTACATATACTTCAGGTTAAGCTAGTGTTCAATGGGCCTTTTGAGGAGACGACAAGAGAATGTTAGTTGTCGGTTTTTTTTTTAATTTTTTGGTTTTTTTGTTTTTTGTTTTTTTTTTTTTTTTTAAATGGTGTGGAGTGGAGATTCCCATTCGTACCAAGAAGTCGCTATTTTTTTGAAATTTATGAGTATATCAGAGTAAAAGATGTTGGTTTGAGATGGTGTGGAGTGGTGGTTCCCACTCGTACCAAATAATTTGCTACTGCTAGTCATGGAAGTGCTTAGTGAGCCGTTTAAGGAGATGATGAGAGGGTATTAGATGTCGGTTTTTATTGGTGTGGAGTGGAGCTTCCCACTCGTACCAAGAAATCCTTATTTAGATGAAGTTTCTTTAAGTGCTAGTGCCTGCTCTGCAATGCAATGAGTATATATGAAATAGAACTTTTTATTGAACCAAATTGTGTGAATTCCGCTATTTCTGTAATCAAAAGTAATGGTGTAGAGTGGAGGTTCCCACTCATACCATAAAGCCGGTGTAAATTCTATAGTCCAGTACTTGTAAAATCTATCTTCAATACACAATTAGAATATCCAAAAACTAAAAGGTAAAATCTTATTGTTGTCTCAAAAAAATTTAGGCATTTATCTGATAAAAATTGACTTCAACACAGGTAAGAACGTTCGATAAAAATGCACAAAAATGTCTGATTAAAATAACTTTGCTCTAGAATGGATGATTAAAATAATTTTGTACATTAAAAGTCACCCGAGTTTCTTCCTTTAATAAAATTGAGAATGGAAATGGGGAATGTGTCAAAGAGACAACAACCCGACCATAGAACAGACAACAGCAGAAGGTCACCAACAGGTCTTCAATGCAGCGAGAAATTCCCGCATTTAAGTATGAACTGGTGTAGAGTGGAGGTTCCCACTCATACCATGAAGTTTCTTGTATTATAAAGTAGGAATGGTGTAGAGTGGAGGTTCCCACTCATACCAATAAACAGTTAAATATAGTTGCCTGTTAATCTAATTTCTTGTCCAGCAGTCCTTACGCATTTGAATTTTTAATTTTTTTAGCCAAACTTTAGATAAGAGCTGGATGTATACCGTCTCTATAGAGGTCTAAATCATATTGAAATCTTGGTGATGAGCTTGTGTTGCGACAAGTTAGTCTGCTTGGGTTGTGTAGTATGTCCAAGTTGAAATTTGGTGTAACGGAGTTAATTGAAATATTTAGCTCTTTAATTTCGAAGTTAAGTTTATCAATTTGATGCCTAAGATCGATATCCTGATCGTTGAAGGTTGCCGGTTCTTTGTGTTTTTTATATTGGTTCCAAAGTGATATACTATAGGTAGGAATACTCAGGAAGGTGACTCTAGATGAAGTATACGAAGAAAGTATTTTAACTATCTCTCTATATTGGTCAACAATGTTTTCAACGGTGGTATTGTCTGAAGAAGTAAGAGAGATCCTGTCCTGGTTGTCTGTTATGGACGTTAGGTCACAAGTACCTAGCCAGATATATATATGGATGGGGCCAAGATGTTCAATTTTATCTTTTATATTGTCACGCAGCCAAGCAACCTTTTCTTATGATTTCGCTCCTCTCTTTACCCACCACCTTATGTGGTCTATTGCAGATGAATCAGACTGGTTTTGAAGGTAAATACCTTTGCTGTCTGATAATACCACTGGGGTACGGAATTTTACCCCCTCTCTGGTTCACTGACTTCCTTAGATATTTTCTGAGCTTATTCTCAGTCATAAATATATAATATTGATGAAGTTATTTAAGCAAATACATATAGATGTAGGCGGCTATACAAAGCAACAGTGAGGCAGACAATATTTAGTCTCGGTGAGAATACATAGAAAAGTTAAATGTCAAATGTTAAAAGTGTGTATTAAAATGCACACACAGATCTATTTCAAGCAATATGAATGATGATTATAGTTGTATATGGTATCGATGGCTAATGATGGCTATACATTTTAGATATTTTTCAATATTGGTTGCAACACTCAGTCAAAGCGCACGAAAAACCGATGCGTTAAAATTGCATCAAAAATGACTAAAATCTGTTATACTTAACGACAAACGATCAATGTCTATTTACATGTAGCAATACTAAATTATCAATTTTTCAATGTTATACGAGAAAACACAAGTCAATATATATAAGTAAATCGTTTTCTTCTGTGACAGTCAAAATCCACAACCATTCCCTTCACCGGATATGTACATCTTGATGTAATAAATATAATGTAATTGATACATAATTGATTCTATCAGAAGTCCATTACTATCTACCACAAAAACTTAATTAGTAAATAATGACCCTTTATCGGTGGTGCTCCTAAAGTATGTTGGATATAACTACAAACATCGTATTTTCCGTTTCTCTCCCTTGACATAATTTATCTAAACTTAGCATGTGAAACACAATTTTAATCATTGATAATGGGACGTTTTTTGTTCTATTTCTCGTATGTAGGCACTCGCTACAGGTAACTCTAGCATCAACAGATATAAAAAGTTTATTATTATTGTTACAAGATATTGCCAGAGACATAAAATTGCATCAGTCATGAAATATGTGTATACACCAACTCGCCCCTTTCTTCAGACTCTTGTTTACCAACTCGCCCTACTAATGTAAAAGTGCAAAATCCCAATGAAAATATGACTGACAACTCGCCCCATTATAAAAAAAGGGTAAAAATTCAGTTAAATAAACATGATAAAGGTCTGTCAACTCGCCCCACTTATGAAAAAGGATGCAATCCCCTTGAATTTAGGTCAGCCAACTTGCCCCACCTATGAATAAAAGAATTAAACTGTACTGGATTACGGCCTACAAACTTGCCCCACTTATATATATATGAATTAAATAAGACTGGGAACAATCATGACAATTGAGAATGGAATAACTTATGAAAACCTTAGAAATGCATCTTGTTTTTTTTTTTTTATCTCTTTTCTTTTGGTTGAAAGAAAGCAAGTATAAATAAGTATCAGCATTTCTATGAAGTACAATGCACTTGACTATAGTAACTGTTTATGATGATTGTTTTCTTGTAAATATAATCACTTTTTTACAAGATAAGTCAAGAATTTTATTCTCAGATAATAGAGGCTAGGTACATGTATGAATGCCCTTTATTGTCAGGCGTCAAACATTTATTTTAGGCTACCGTTAGCATCAAATTGGTTAAAATTTTACGGTAATTCATTAAAATATCCTTATCAGGATTAGTCCAAGGACTCAAATAATTATAGTTTAAACCATTATTTTTGGGAAAAAAATTAGCGTGGTTCGCCAAAATCAGTTGATTTATTTAAATTTACTGTCTAAAAGAGAAGAACATATTATTGTCATGCACCAAAAATTACTGTTAACGTTATTTGGCAAAAATTTTTACCGTTAGAATTTTTGCTGTTATTTGTTATGAACATGATGAAGGTACCCAAGACAATATCGAAAATGTCTAATTTTTGGCAAAAGAAAAATTTCAAAAAACCAAAAATAAATGTCTTTAGAACCCGTATTTTAATAGCACAAATTGAAGAATAAACATTGAGGATTCAGGAACTGTTGTCTGTAATTCAAATAATTGTTAAATGTGGTAACAATGGCAATTTTAAAAATGGTACCAAAAATTCCAGTTCTTTCCTGTTACCATAGTCATGATAGTGAATTAATTTTAAAAAGTTTCAAATGGGAATAAAGAATAAGTTAAAGATACTATATCTGGTTTACTAGTATATCCTACAATATTTCATCAAATGCCAATTATTTATTTTAGCATTTACAATACACAAGGTTAAGAAATATATACTAAAATATAGTACGATATGTCGGTAACATGAAAGAATCTTGATTAACCATGTTAACAGGACAGATTTGGTAACAGGAAGGAATTATTTTTATAAAACAATTCCTTTATTTCATAGTTTAAGAAAAGTACATCATTACAAATTGATCACAATTGGAAGATAACAGCAAACAATGTCATTTAGCTTTTAAAACTTTATTTGAAAGATGAAAAATCTGACTAGGTAATGAAAAATTCAAAAATAAATTCCGTTCTGTTACTATCTACTATACTAGAATTGCACAATGTTCTCTGCTGTTATCAAAAGTAAAAAAAACGGTCTTTTCATTCAATATACTGTATATTATATTGAGATTTATTTAATATGATGATAATAACTTATATTAAATGAATGTTTGACATATAGTAGGTTAACTTTGTGTTTCATCAGTGAAATTGTCTTTAACATCCTTCCTGTTACTGATTATGGCTATGCTGTTACTTTTTATCAGGTAACATGACAGAACATAACAGAAAGGAATTACACAGTACTTTTTGTCCTTTTATTTGAATTGTGTGTAAGTTTACTTCCATCTACATATCAATTTAATAAGATACTATAAAAACACATTTAATGTTATAGTGCTGACTATCAAATATTCTCAGAAGGTACACAAAAAGGCTGTAACAGGAGAGAACAACTCAATTATTTTTCACTAAATTCTTATCTTGTGTGAGCTCGGATTTTTCAAACTGGCTGCCATTCATACTATACATGTGGAGTCATACATTCAGGAAATGATGCTCTTCTCATTGCATTATAAGAAGTCAAATCTTGGTCTTTCAAACGTTTCCAAAGGTGAAAAAAACCAGTGGTAACAGGAGGGAAATTACCCCTTGGGACAAAATTAATTTTTTCTTAAATTTGCAAAATTTTATTACATGCTGTATTTATAATAAAAACAGACCAGTAAGGGACAAGTTTCTTATATGATCTATCATATTTGTGAAAATCGGAAGCCTGTTTACTTAATTTGGATATTCTTTGAATGATTTAGTTGTCAGAAAACAACACCGGACAACATGATTTTTTGGGGGGTTGAACATTCAAATTATAATATTTTATTGGAAGAAATATAAGAAGGAGTGATTAATTGGCAATAGTTGGTGCAATATATACTTTAGTTAATACTGAAACTTAAAATTTTCCAAAAAGATGGTTGAATGAAAAAATAATTGCCGGTGAAAGATGGAACCAGGAAATTAGACTTTTTCAGATATTGTCTCACCCCCGTTACGACCCTCATTATAAGTTGCACAATAAGTCAATTACAACAATCACTGGCATGATTACACAAAATGAAGCACTCAATGAAATGTCAACACTATAAAAACAAAAACATGAATATACAAATATGGCAATCAATAGATAAGTTTTGATAAGTGGGGCAAGTTGGCAGACCTTTATTATATATTCATTGGAATGTCATGTGAATGTTGTCCATTTTCATAAGTGGGGCGTGTTGGCAGGAATATTTAAACAGTATTTAATCCTTTTTCATAAGTGGGAGGAGTTGGCATGGTTGGTTAACCAGTGTGAAGCAATTTTTTTTTTAAGTGGGGAAACTGCTGTGAGGTGATCTTTTAAAAAGTGTGGCACGTTGGTGAAAGAGTGTGGTGATTTGTCTTGCTTCCTATATTTACATAAATTAGCATTTCATCCAATTTGCAAAAGTGACCGAATCAAATTCTGATTGATTTTTTTTCTGAAAAAATGTCATTTTAAAAAATACAAAGATACAAAATTTCTTGTTAAATTATGGATTTACTTTATCATTTTATTACATCCGTCCCTGAAACAATGTATAAGTCTACCAGAATCATTCAATAAGTTAGTTGATGTTCTTGTTCTTGAATCTATCTTCTACCAATAATCTTTTTTTTTCATTGTTGCATTGTATTTCAGAGGATTACAGAGACAGAGTACCACTGGCATTGATGATACTATTCAAGGAAGACTTGTGGTATGGTTAATTTATTAAATAATACAAAAATAGTTTGTGTTTTTATACACCTGTTTATGGGATGTATTATGGTATTTTGTTGTCTGTCTGTCAAGTCCATCTTCATGTTGGACAATAACTTAAAAACTCTTTAACCAATTTGCATGAAACTTTGGTGAATTGTTTATATCTTTTGATGTGAACTCCTTTTTGATATTATAAATTTTAGATTTTATGTTTCTAAGTTATGGGGTTTTATTCATTTAAAAAAGGGGGACTTTCCAGTCTTCGGTCAATAACTCAAAAGCTCTTTGAGCAGTCTTCATGAAACTTTGGTGACTGGTTTATATCTAATGAAATAACCTCCCTTTAGTTTTTATAAATTTCTGATATGACATTAAGGAGTTATGGAACTTTATTCTTTGAAAAAGCAAAGGGTTTATCATCCACTCATGACACAGCACTTCCTTATGACTTGGAATGCATACCCTTAATTCATTATTACCACTTATCATGCATATGCTTATCATGCTTATGGATGTTGATTGTGACAAACATTTCAAGTCTCCCAAATACATGTGATATACATTCAAGATAGGAATAATAGCAAAATAAAAAAAAATTAGGCCCACACTCACAATTTTTGTTTGGCCTTGTATCTTTAATTAATGAAATAAAATTGAGAATGAAAAGGGGGAATGTGTCAAAGAGACAACAACCCGACCATAGAGCAGACAACAGCCGAAGGCCACCAATGGGTCTTCAATGCAGCGAGAAACTCCCGCACCCGGAGTGATAAGAATTGTTCAGTGAAGGAAATGATTACATAACAAAGTCACTGTGTCTTTTGACTTTATGACTCTTTTGGCTAAATGTCAAAAACATTCTTACCTCTAGATTTGGACATTTGTACATATTTTGGTAGAACACCATGAACACTAGCCAGTACATGGACAAGTAGTTGGGCAAATCAATTCATACAAATATATAGTTTCTCAAATATGGAAGATAAGAAATGTAAATAATTTGTCTATATTTACAGGATTTTACCAGAGATGTGTTAGGGCGTGACCTGAGTGACCCTACAGCAACGTTGTCATCATTGGTGTCTAGTAGAACGGATGTAGGGGTCCATGCATTAAATAACACAATCACTGTTGATTTTCCAGATAGGTAAAGTTTGAAGTATCAATAAAAAGAGACATTAGGCAAACATAAGTGAGACAGCAATTCAACAACATGAACAAACCAAAATAGAATACTAGGGGCAGCAATTCAACAACACCCACAATTCAGCAATGGATTGATACATTACCTATTATACATATTGTTGATTAATTTACCTGGCTAAATAAGTCAGAAAATATAGATGTTTATATTTAAGCTCACCTGGCCTGAAAGTCCAAGTGAGCTACTCATCACTTGTCGTTTGGCGTCTGTTGTCCCTTAACTTTTACAAAAATCTTCTCCTCTGAATACCTCTGAATAACCAAACTTGGCCACAATCATTATTGGGGTATCTAGTTTAAAAAATGTGTCTGATTACCCCTCCTGCCAACCAACATGGCTGCCATGGCTAAAAATAGAACATAGGGGTAAAATGATGTTTTTGGCTTGTATCTTTGAAACTAAAGCATTTAGATTAAAATCTGACTGGGGAGGGAAAATGTTCACCAGGTTTAGATCTATCTGGCTTCAAATTTTCAGACAAAACAGACAACCCGTTGTTGGGTTGCTGCCCTTGAATTAGTAATTTTAAGGAAATTTTGCAGTTTTTATACGACCGCAAAAATTAAAAATTTTTTGGTCGTATATTGGTATGACGTTGGCGTCGTCGTCGTCGTCGTCGTCGTCGTTGTCGTCGTCGTCGTCGTCGTCCGGCGTCGTCCGAAGACACATTGGTTTTCGCACTCTAACTTTAGTTTAAGTGAATGGATCTCCATGAAATTTCACCATAAGGTTCAATACCACAAAAGGAAGGTTGGGATTGATTTTGGGGGTTATGGTACCAACAGTTAAGGAATTAGGGGCCAAAAAGGGGCCAAAAATAAGCATTTTTGTAACTTTCAGACAATAACTTGTGTGTAAGTGTATGGATCTCTCTGACATTGTACCACAAGGTTCCATATCACAAAGGGAAGGCTGTAATTGATTTTGGGGGTAATTGCCTCAAAATTTTAGGAATTAGGGGCCAAAAAAGGGGCAAAAAACAAGCATTTTTCTAGTTTCATGACAATAACTTGTGTGTAAGTGTTTGGATATTTCTGAAATTGTACTACAAGGTTCCATATCACAAAGGGAAAGCTGGAATTGAGTTTGGGGGTAATTGCCCGAAACGTTTAGGAATTGGGGGCCAAAAAGGGGCCAAAAATAAGCATTTTTCTAGTTTCCAGACAATAACTTGTGTTCAAGTGTATGGATCTCTCTGAAATTGTACTGCAAGGTACCATACCACAAAGGGAAGGCTGGGATTGAGTTTGGGGGTGATGAATCATAAGGGGGTTCAAAAAATTGGGGGGGGGGGGATTTTTTTTTTTTTTTTTTTTCTTTTTTTCCTTTTTTTTTTCTTTTAAAATTTTCCATTTTAAGTTGGTTATTTCTGATTTATATTTAAAAGCAAATAATAATGATATGGTAGGAGATACACACCAAACAGGATGTGTAAATTATTATATAATAAGTATTGTGCAATAGCAAGAAATTTTCAATTGCACAGTATTGCACAATAGCAAGAAATCTTCAATTGCACAGTATTGCGCAATAGCAAGAAATCTTCAATTTAACAGTATTGCGCAATAGCAAGAAATATCCAATAGCACAATATTGCGCAATAGCAAGAAATTGTCAATTGTACAGTATTGCGCAATAGCAAGAAATATTCAATTGCACAGTATTGTGCAAAAGAAGATACTTCGTATAAATTGCTTATTTCTTGATCAATTTCAATGGGGTTTTATTCTTGAATTCTTGGGGTTCTTTAATATGCTGAATCTAACCGTGTATTAAGTTTTTGGATTTTGGGCCCCGTTTTTAAATTGGTCCACATTGAGGTCCAAAGGGTCCAAAATTAAACTTTGTTTGATTTCAACAAAAATTGAATATATGGGGTTCTTTGATATGCTGAATCTAAACATGTATTTAGATTTTAGATTTTTGGCCCAGTTTTCAAGTTGGTCCAAATTGGGGTCCAAAATTAAACTTCGTTTGATTTCAACAAAAATTGAATATATGGGGTTCTTTGATATGCTGAATCTTACCATGTATTTAGATTTTTTATTTGTGGGCCCGCTATCAAATTGGTTCATATTGAGGTCAAAAGGGTCCAAAATTAAACTTTGTTTGATTTCATCAAAAATTGAATTATTGGGGTTCTTTGATATGCCAAATCTAACTGTGTTTTTAGATTTTTAATTTAGGGTCCCGTTTTTTAAATTTGTCTACATTAAGGTCCAAAGGGTCCAAAATTAAACTTAGTTTGATTTTAACAAAAATTGAATTCTTAGGGTACTTTGATATGCTGAATCTAAACATGTGTTTAGATTTTTGATTATGGGACCAGTTTTCAAGTTTGTCCAAGTTGGGGTCCAAAATTAAACTTTGTTTGATTTCAACAAAAATTGAATATATGGGGTTCTTTGATATGCTGAATCTAACCATGTATTTTGATTTTGGACATTGGACCATAATAGGTAAATTAAAAAAATTGAAGTTCTTAGACCACATTCTTTCTGTGTCAGAAACCTATGCTGTGTCAAATATTTAATCACAATCCAAATTCAGAGCTGTATCAAGCTTGAATGTTGTGTCCATACTTGCCCCAACTGTTCAGGGTTCGACCTCTGCGGTCGTATCAAGCTGCGCCCAGCGAAGCATTTTATTGGTTATTATTTTGAATATTATTATAGAATGTATAGATAGAGATACACTGTAAGCAGCAAGCATTTAAGATTCATTGGTGGAAAAACTGTTTCTGCTTTATAAAACTATTTAAAAGGGAGATAACTCCAATTAGATCCATTAGAATCTATTTTGAAGTATTTTATAAAACTAGATAAAAGGGAGATAACTCCAATAAAATTGATTAAATCTAAAATTTTCTAGATAAATCATTAGAATCTATTTTTATTTTTTTCATTAAATGTATCACAAGATGTTTATTGCATGTATCTTATATGAACTTTGACTTCTAAAATTTAAAGAATGATTTTGTAGACAGGCAATGTCATATCATTTACCATGTTTACTAGCATTCATTTATTAATTGTATATTATGTTATTTTGTATTTATTTTTTTTTATTTAGAAAAAAAAACGGACAGCAGCATGATTTTATGATGCTACAAAAAATATTAGATATGAAGAGAGTCGTATTATTTACAATCATTCATTTAATAATTTCATTAATTCATATTCTGTTAACTTATTTTGTATTTATTTTTCTTTATTTAGAAAACAAAATGGACAACAGCATGATCTTATGATGATACAAAAGATATTAAATATGAGGCTTGGGAAGAAAGGAGAAGAAATAAGGTAAACTATTGATGAGGGTTTTTTTTTTTAACATTTTTCTCTATTCCTCAAAGATTTAGCCCAAATTTCCCCACCCCTTATATTTTAGCACCCCATTATCCTCTATTCTATATTTATTGGCCTACTTTTCTCTACTTTTTATTTTGTTGGCACATTTTTCTGTAGATATAGGAGGTATGATTACCAATGAGACAACCCTCCACAAGAGACCAAATGACACAGTAATTAACAACTATTATGTCACTTTACGGCCTTAAACAATGAGCAAAGCCCAAACCTCATAGTCTGCTATAAAAGGCCTTGAATTGTTAAATGTAAATCAATTCATACAAGAAAACTAACGACCTGATTTATGTACAGAATAATGAATGAAAAACAAATGTGTTACACAGCAACAAACAATGACCACTGACTTATAGGCTGCTGACTTTGGACAGGCACATACAAAATGTGGTGGGGTATAAACTAGTTTTATTAGTGCCTAACCCTCCCCTAACCTGGGACAGTGGTGTAAAGGTATAACATTAGAAAAACCTATGCAAAACAATAAATGAAAAACCAATATGAGAAACAGCAAAAAAAGACAACCACTAAATTATAGACTCCTGACCTGGGACAGGCACATATAGAATCTTGCAGGGTTAAACTAGTTCTAAGGAGCCAACCCTCCCCTAACCTGGGACAGTGTTGTAACGGTACAAAATTATTCGATATAGATATTATTAGATGTAGATATGCCCATTATTTTCTATTCTGTAAACTCCATTCAGACCCTAATTTATAGACAACAGAAAAGTTTGTTTTTTTAAGCAAGTACATAAGAATAAGATCAGTCAACATAAGATTAGAGTTAGCTATTCATTTACTGAAATAAAGTTTTCTTAAAAGATATATGAATTGTTGGTATCAATGGCAAAAAATTGAAAAAAAGTGTATAAAACTTGATGTGACAAATAAGAAACTGGTAGATAACTAGATATATATATATATATATATATATAAGTGCCTATAAATAGCAGCACATGACATACAAATCTATGGGAGTGTGGATTAATCAGTACAGAGATTAATTCAATTACACAAATAAAATTATAGATTGCCTAACAATGTAATTTTAACACACTATTTAGTATGTAAATATAAGAATGTTTAAAATATTTACAAAATGATGAAAATAAACGCAATATTTCGCTAGACTAACTAGCTTTATCAAGCGTGCATCTATCCAGGTGAAATCGGATGTAGATGATAAGAAACTTTTGCAGCTCAATGTATATGTTGCACTTGAATTTAGCTGCCTTGAAAATAATACATAATTTGGATGACGTTCAAGATTTTTAACACCACGGCGAGAAGGAGAAGAGAAAATTTTTGGATCCACCAACTCCACACTTTAGAACCTGATGGTCTTAACGAAAAAGATGAGAAAAGATACAGGAAAGATAAAGAATAATTTAGTACACAGCATCGTCCTTTTTATCCTGTAATATTGGCCAATGGACGTTGCTAACTTCAACTACCAATTTTGTAAAAATCTTGAACTTCATCCAAATTATGTATTATTTTCAAGGCAGCTAAATTCAAGTGCAACATATACATTGAGCTGCAAAAGTTTCTTATCATCTACATCCGATTTCACCTGGATAGATGCACGCTTGATAAAGCTAGTTAGTCTAGCGAAATATTGCGTTTATTTTCATCATTTTGTAAATATTTTAAACATTCTTATATTTACATACTAAATAGTGTGTTAAAATTACATTGTTAGGCAATCTATATATATATATATATATATATATATTAAAAATATTCTATCCATGTAAATATATCCAAAAGATATTTAAAAGAGGGGAAAAAGATACCAGAGGGACATTCAAACTCATAAATTGAAAATAAACTGACAAAGCCATGGCTAAAAAAAAAACCAAACAAACAAACAATAGTACACAAAACACAACATAGAAAACCAAAGATTAAAAGACAACACACCTACAGACTTAAACACTAGACAGGTGTCTATACTATTTGTTTAATGCTCTCACTCTTCCTCAGATCTTTAAGTATTAAGTTTGATGCAAAAAAAAACTCTTGTGTTTGTGTATGTCTATATGATGTAGACCCCACATCTATTTTTATTTATATCTCCTACTGCTTTGATTATTTTTAGTGCAACGAGGTCATGTTTTTAATATCTATATTCTATAATTCAAAAATAAATACTTTTGTTTTATTTACTACAATCTTTCATTAATCATGTTAATAGGTCCGGATCCTATAGTTAAAAATAAATAATTTTATTTTACATATTACAAACTTTCTTTAAAAGATTCTATGATTAAAGAAAAAATTAAATGTTCATAGTTAACATAAAAAAGTAAAATAATAAAAATATCGAACTCTTAGGAAAATTCAAAACGAAAGTCCATAATCAAATGGCAAAATCAAAAGCTCAAACACATCAAACAAATGAATAACAACTGTAATATTCCTAACTTGGTACAGGTATTTTCTTATGTAGAAAATTGTGGATTAAACCTGGTTTTATAGCTAGCTGAACCTCTCACTTGTATGACAGTTGCATAAAATTCCATTCTATTGACAACAATATTTGAATAAAACAAACAGACATAATAGGTGAAAATGTCAAAAATAGGGGTATAGCAGTCGATCAACATTGTGTTATAATCTTAACTATAAAAACAAACAAATATGTTAACCCAGAAAAACAAAAAGGCATAAAGACAAAGCACACAAGCCAAAACGAAAGATAAGAAAACAAAAAATTTACCAGAAGTGTTAGTTACAATGATTAATTTTTTTCAGAGTTCATAGCATACAGCAGGTAGCTGATAATTTCCGTTGTTTCAGTAAACCTTACAGAAGACATTATATCTACAGATTAGGTATCTTTAAAGATTCAGCATACGTCAGCAGTGGTACACCACTACCAATCATTGACAGGGGATTTGTACATCTTTTACAGTAAGAGACCATCTCAATGTACTTATCTTCCTCTTTTCTGTAATTTCCTCCTCCTTTTGTGGAGCACATCCACAATTTTAAAAAGTGAATTGTATTAGCACCAGCTGTGAGACAATTGATTTGTGCATGTTTTTAATTTTGCAAAAAATTATACATGATTATTATCACATTCAATAGAAAAATTCTAATTTTGATCACATTATTTGTATAAGGGCTATTCCATTAAAATGTATGTGGGAGGGTAGGAAGGGAAGTTTAATTATTGAATGTGGGTCATGGATCTTTTTTCAGTATGTGTCTAGTACCATTATGCAATTTTATCTAAAAAATTGTTCTTGGTTGTAGGGATATTTTGAAAGTCCCTTCCTACCCTCCCACATACATTTTATTGGAATAGCCCTAAATACAAAAATAAGAAGATGTGATATGATTGCTAATTAGAAATCCAAATGATGTAGAAACTATAGTTCACTGTATGGTCTTAAGGTAACACAATACAGAATGGCATATCTCCCGATTTCTAAAATTTTTGGCACACTTGTACTTTGATTCGAGTTACACCGGAATATGAAATAAAAAATGGGGGTCACCATTCTTGTTTTTTTGTAATTTTGATAAGTAAATGTCAATTATGGCGCCAAATTTACATAGATATATAGGGAAAATGCCTTTTTTTTAACTTACTTTTCTAGATTTTTCAATGGATGGCTATTTTCTCATATACGGAGAAAGACTAAAAACTAACATAATATCCAGGATTGTATACCAAATCCATACATGTATAAAAAAACTTATGTCACCATCCTTGTTTTTTAGATAAATCGCTTCAAAAATGACTGATACGCTTAGAAATTGACAAAAATATGTGACGTTACGGAATACAAAATAACGTTATTTTTATTCAGAGAGATTGAAAAAAAAAATGTAACGGGATCTGAATAGTGTTTGTTATTTTATTTTCATTCCCCCTGTCGGAAATTTCCTAATAATTCAATATAACATTCGACTGAGTTAAATTTATTTCGTCCTAACTGTGTGCACTTTTAGCTTTCAAAACTGAATCTTCAACTTAACCCTTCCAAACTAGACACTGCTGATGACACCGATGTATCCATGCATGAATGAAATAAAGTGCTTCAAAAATTTGATTTGGTAAACAGTGATGTTGAAGTACAATTTGAATTGATTGATTGATGGTTGCTTAACGTCCAGTGGCAAATATTTCATGGATTTTCAGGACGATACGATACAATTTGAAAAGTTATGTCTAAAAGACACATTTGATGCAGCCGTCAAAAAAGGTTACACATTCTGTTGGTTGTGAAAATTATATAGAAAATCAACATCCTGATAAAATACGTATTCTATAAATATAGTATACTCTGTATGATGTAAACATTTGGGTTGTGTGCGTTGTTAGTCGGACAAACCTTACAAACTGTATGTAGAATTTCACTTGAATAGACAAAGTTCAACATTCTGTCATTCGTGGAAAATTATTAAAAAAAAGTGAGCCTGAGAATATACATGCACCCTTAATATAGGTTAAAAAAGACTTGGTGCAATATATTATCAAAATGCCAAATTCAGCAACCTGTCATAAAAAAATTTAAATCTGACAAGATGCGCTAATTGTATATGTACTAACACCAAGTACATAATTTAAAAGTTAAAGCTTCAAAACTGTAATCCTAAAAAATCCCATATACCAGCTAAGGGACGGACTGTCGAAGGACACGGGTAAATCAATATGCTCCCAGCATTTTGTTAAGGGAGCAAAATATATATTAGATATAAGAAGATGTGGTATGAACGCCAATGAGACAACTCTCCATCCAAGTCAAAATTTATAAAAGTAAACCATTATAGGTCACAGTACGGTCTTCAACACGGAGCCTTGGCTCACACCGAACAGTAAGCTATAAAGGGCCCCAAAATATTACTAGTGTAAAACCATTCAAACGGGGAAAACCAACGGTCTAATCTATATAAAAAACGAGAAACGAGAAACACTTATGAACCACATCAACAAACGACAACTACTGAACATCAGATTCCTGACTTAGGACAGGTGCAAACAAATGCAGCGGGTTTAAACGTTTTAATGGTATCAAACCTTCACCCTTTTTCCTGAAACAATAGTGTAACATAACAAAATAGAAAGACACACTATAAAATATCAACTGAAATGGCTTAACTCAATCAAAGGACATATTAACACCATTGAACATACACTGAACAAATAAATTTGACCTATGACACAATGTAAATACAAAATAAATTAGCATATATGATGATGTTCTATTTTATAAAACTTATTAACTTTCCAATTCAAGGGACCAACGAATCTTTACTAAAACTACAAATTAGCAGTAAAAAATACTCGTCCATCCTGCATTAGTCACATGTTATATAGATGTTTTTGGTTTTGTGTGTCGTTAATTGGCCATTTGCTGTTTTATTGTATATCCCACATTTCCATTTATGCACACAAAGAAAAAACAACCCTTTTAATTTATATTAACACTTGTATACTTGTTGTAAAAACTCCTTTTAAGACTGCGACTATGTGAGCAATATGTCCATCCCCCAAATGGCACCTTTGCTAATCGTCTGTGTGTCGTATTGTCTCCCCACTTTGTGAAAAGGTGCGTTTTTTTATCCGCTGTACCTGAACATCATGTCCAACTCAAAACACCAAAAACACACCCCTCCCTGAAGACAAAATGAAAATTAATATGAATCTAAAATAAAATTGATTTTAAGATCTCGTTGGATTTTTGTCCCCCGCACGACGTGTTGTGGTGGACATACGAGTACCGGGCGTCTGTCCTTCTGACCGTCCGTTCGTCTTTCCGGTCTTGTTACCTCTCTGACATGTACAATTCTAGCCTGATTTTTATAAAACTTATATATAAGGTTTATATCAGCATTTTCGCTGACAAGTTTGAAAATCAATGCCGATCAATTATTTTTAAAAGAGTCATGCCCCTTGGATATATTAATTAGTATATGGAAAATTGCATTTTTAAGCACTCTTAGTTTACAATTTTTGCCAGATCTTTAAATAATTTATATTAAAGGTTTATATCAGCATTGTCTTGGATAATTTCGAAGGTCAGTGCTGATCAAATATTGTTAAAAGAGTTATGCCCCTTGGAAATAATAATTATATCGAAAATTGCATTGCATTTGCTCTCAAATCTCATTTCTCTATTAACGATATTTATAAAAAAAAATCAAAGAATAAACTTTTTTTTAAAGTAATAATGCCCATTGACAGATACAATATGTACAACGCGGGAGGGGGTTGGGGGTGTGGCATTGGAACTGTTCTTTTAATCAGTTTGTTTTTGCTGTTTGAATAAAATAGGTTAATGAAAATATCTTCTTGTAGCTTGTTTGCGTTCAAAGTGCTTCTCTGGAATTACCTTTATCGAAGCACCGATCATTCATTCATTGTGGGGCCACAGGTTTTTAATTAATCGTTTGATTGTAAATTTCGCGATAATTTATTTCAGAACGGAATTGAAAGAAAAAGATGTAACAGGATCTGAATGATTAAATTTTATTTCGACCTAACCGAGTGCACATTTAGTGTTGACATCCCATATGTTTAAACCTTTGTTAACTTTCTCCTTATTCCGATGTAGCTGTCCTGTTTAGACTGTACTTATAAGATTACAATGCTAGTAGTTTCTTTTAAACAAGCTTTCGAAACCATATCGGATTTCTTCTGTACAGTCCAATTAATTTCAAAAACTGTTTACACTTGAAACATAGGGAAAGTTGTTCGGCCAAATAGCCAATTTCAACTACTCTTCTTTTTTCATTCCATGCCAATAAACCAGTTTCTGTCTGGGTTTGTACGTCTGCTTGCATGGTGCTTTCTTGCTAAATTCTATCGGTATTCTTTTCCAAATAAATTTCCTTTTTCTAATTTGCTAGCGACATTTTTCGGTGACCATTTAAAAATGAAAAAAACAAATGGGCTTCTGAGCGGAATTGCATTAATTGTGGTACAGTTCCTCGTATTTTCATACATTATCATGCATTTCTATAATGTAGATTTCTACTTTCAAAACAAAATTTCATCGGGAAACGGCGTGCATCCTTAATAAGAATGTATTGCAAAAAAAAAAGAAAAAAAAAACCCAACCCAGAATAAAAAGCTCAGTCTGTTATGCATAAGAACATATATAGATTAATCGTACAAATGCTTACTTATCAATAGAAACAGAACATTTAAAAAGTATATATTTAAATTCGAAGAATGAGAAGAAGAATGGGAGGAAGACGCCAAAGCAATCAATGTCAAATATATAACGTATTGCATTGAATCCCTCGACATTCTGCATCTATGCAAAGTTACTATTACAAATGTTAATAAAAAAAAAAAGTTAATTTACTATTAAAATTTCACCCAAGTGTGATTTTTTTTTTCTCTCATTTTTGTTCTTTTATTTGAATCGTAAATATGCAAAGTTTTTTGTTTTGTGATTGAATATGATACATATAGAAAGCGACGCTAAAATGAAGGTATTTTTAATATATAATCATATATACTTGCAAATTTGAAATAAAGAAACATTTATCTTTCAACTATTTTATACCAGACTGAGGCAAATTGTTTGTTTGATTCGTTCTAAGTTATTATAAAACATCAGGTTTTATGTTTGACGTCAATTTCAAAGATGTCGACAACAGCAGGAACGATAACTCGTGGCGTAACATCATTCAGTATCTTGTAACCTTAAGGGCATACGATACATTTACTCTAAATTTTTTTTTTTTTTACATTTCCATGCTTTGGATAGACACACCTAACTTTTTTATTTCAACAGATAAACACAAACGGATTTTTGTAAAAACATTATGAAAATATTCTTTAAATAAATATGCTCTTAATATGTACAACAATTCTTTGGAAATTATAAATTTTTAACAAAGTTTCAAGATTTTAGGAAAAAAACGGCATTTTTTGCGGTATATTTTTCAAATTTAAAAAAAATTGAATGTTGACTTTTTCATTAAAATTGGTACAAATAATCTTCATACATAATCAAACCTAATGCCATTTTGAAAAAGAAGGGGTCCATGTACTCGTTTTCAAGTTAAATCAGATTATTAAAAGCATAAAAAACAATCGAAAAACGCATCTTTTCCCGATATGTCACAGTTTGACATCGCTAAAATAACATTTTACATTAGCAACGTCATTACCTCCCCTGTAATTGTATCGTATGCCCTTAAACAATGAGCAAAACCCTTACCGCATAGCAAGCCATAAACATCCTTGAAAAGACAAATGTAAATCATTCAAAACAATAAATGAAAACAATATGAAGCATGTTTTGACATTATGATTATTCAGCACATTGGTGTCATGGATAAACCATCACAATAATAAATGCAATAATTTCTAAATAGAAATATAAACTTTTGAACTGAAGCAAATGTATCAAATATTCTCCTCAAAGTACAAACACAGAGACTTTACCATCAACATATATGGGTCATGCATAACATTTTGGCTCAATAATTCTTCACATGGACATGATGGATAGTTGCTTTTAAAGGTTAAATTTAAAATCGGTTGTTGTTGATACAGTAATGAGAGAATAGGTCTGGCTGATCCTGATTACTGTAAAGTAGGAAGTTATCGTGAAGCTTTTCTTTTTGATTGTGCAATTAAGAAAGTTGTTGAAATGGCTGCCATCTCCAATTGTTCTTTTAAGAAGATATAAACCTTACCCAGATAAACCTAAAAAATTAGGCCTCAAGAACATTTATAGAGATCACTTCTGTTGTCCTAATCATCCTGAATATGCATGATATATTTGTCACTGGGCGTTAATCAATCACCAATTAACCAATCAATCTGTTGTCATTTAAATCTTGATTTGTTATTCTGCAAATCATATGAAAAGGCGTGAGAGAATTCAATGAAATTTGAAAAGATACCTCTATATGACATTTCAAGTTTTGATCTGAGTGATTTTAGCGGTTGTCAATACCAAAACATGGTCATAGCCATTTCTGGTTATATCAGTTTGTCAATTAGTTACTTTTTCAAATGGGTTGATAAAATTCAATGAACTTTCAAAGATTCTTATGTTAATTAGTTACTCCTAGAAATGGCTTCAGAGAATTCAATTGATCTTGTAAAGATACTTCTACATGACATTTCTAGTTTTGATCTGATTGATTTCAGGGGGTTCCCCATACCAAAACATGGTCAAATTGAAGTCTGCTGATATCAGTTGGTTAATTAGTTACTCCTTGAATTGACTTGACTCAATTCAATGAAACTTGCACAGATTCTTATGTTAATCATGTTAATTAGTTATCATGGTTACTCCTTGAAATGGCTTGACAGAATTCAATGAAACTTGCACAGATTCATGACATGAAGTTGTTGTTCTGCAATTTGATCTGAGGAATTTTTAGTGTTTTTCACACCATAACAATAATGTGCACTAACCTGTTGTCTAGATAAGTTTTTGTGCAAATGATGCATGTTTTCAATGGAAATCTTACATAAAAGTAAGTTAGCCTATAAATCTGAAAGTATATTTTGTTAGTTTTATTGTGTTGATGAAATACAGTCTAATTGATATACCGTCTATAGTTGTGTACAATACGCACCCCTCTACCATCTACTTTTGGGGGTAAAAATGTGCTTACTATACACACATAAAGACGTATACCCCAACAATGGCCAACATGTCCTTTTTCATACTTTTGATTTCATGTTTGTTTTATTATTGCAGCCCACCATTCAGCATGGATAAATTTCTACAAGCAGCAGAGGTTATGTGTGGAACCAACAATTTCACATCATTTACCAGTGTGAAAAAAATAACGGAAGAATTCAAAAATCCAGTACGGACAGTTTCAATCAATATAAAAAGAGGTGCTCCTTACATGGCAGGATCCACAGAAGAATGTCAAGAGAAATTAGAATTCTGGGACGTTCATATTATCAGTAAATCATTCATGTATAAACAGGTATGCTGTTCCTTCAATAGTATAGGTCACCTGCATTTCTGCTATGCTTAGGGCTGTCCATTTAGCTGTGCAAGAATTACACATATGCAGCCATGTCAAATCCAAATCTAGATATCTAGAATTGATATCTCTGTTGAATATGGCAAAAATCTTACAAATAATGTCATATTGTGTGCTTTTCCTCTTTCAGTAAAAACAAGAGTTGTGCTTTTCATGGTAACCAAACAGTACATTTCCAAGAAAGGGATATACCGTAACTCTTTTCAAATAATAATTTCAACGTCAAAATCATACTTTAATGGAGCCTTTTAAAGCTGACTATTTAGGGTATTGGTTTTGTTGAAGGCCTTACAGTGCCATATATTTGTTGATACTTTCAATCAGAGGTCTCCAGTGGATAGTTGTATCATTGGAAATCATACAACATTTCCTATTTGTTTTAAAATTATGTACTTTTGAAACTATTTTAATAAGTGGGTTGATCTAGCATCATTTTTTCTTACACGTTCTGTAGACTGTACAATAATTCTATTTACTTCTGGTTGGTTTGAAAATTAATAGAGAAAAACAACCTTTGCATTTAAAAAGGTCTAAATATGCTCCTGCTCCAACTTAGCAGAAGTTTTTTGAAGTTTTGTATCAAACTTATGTGGACATGTTACACCATGTGACATGTTTTTATGCACTGGCTGTGTTACCCATGTCTGTCTGTTCATTTGAACATTTTTTTTGCGTTCTCTAACTTTAGTTTTCTTCAACCAAATGTTATGAATCTTATACACAATGCTTATTACCATTAAACACTTCGAATTTGCGTGGCGTCATTTTTACAGATCATCAGTTTTGTTCCATTATAACATTATATGCAAGCAGGTGCCTCATCTGTGTAAAATAGACACATTCTCCATTTATTCAGTATACCTGACAGTGCATCTTGTTTTCTTTATTCAGATTAGAAGAATGGTTAATGGTTTAGTGGCTGTAGCCTGTGGCAAGTGTAGTGTGGAAGATTTGAGACAAACATTAAAAGATCCAGCTCATAAAGTCAAATATCTAGAAAGGTCCTTCCCACCATGGGCCTTGTTTCTAAATAATGTGGAATACTATCCTGAAGGTAAGAATATCAATATCTGTAACATTGGTGTAGCTAAGATCACCATGGTAACAAAATTGAAATAGCAGAAATTTTTTTCATCATTATATCACAAATTCCCCATTGTTACAAAATTCCTATTTCTTTACTATTTTCCAAATCTACAACTTTACTCAGATATTAAGCCTCAGCAAAAAAGTTCACACTTTTTTCTAAAATAATATAATATTAATTAAAAAAGAGTAATGTGTGACGGGATTGCTTCCCTTAGTACATGTGGTAGATACTTAGTCAGCCGTAAGCGGTTGAGCTAAGGAAGTACTTCTTTAGCTCAGTCAGTATTTGCCCTGCTTTGTAACACAGAGGTCCCGGTGGAGACATGCAATTTTGTAATGAAATTCGTGCTCTCTGGTTACATTGGCGCCCAACTAAAAAACCCTCAGTATAACATTTTGTAAGAAGAATCATGCTCTCCGGTTACAAACGAAAGGGAGATAATTCTATAAAAGAGAAATAATTCTAACACATAGTATGAGTTGCGTCAGATAGAAATTGACCTTAAACAAGTGCATGTATACATGTATAAGACTTTGATTGGTTTTGGAACATTAGAATACGATATAAAAGATGAATGATATTGTTTAATAGGGTTCTTATATCAACTCAATTTCCAAACAGTTACAGACTTTGCATACAGATTTTTTTCAATCAAAATAAAAAAGTTAACAGATGCATTGATAATGGCAGATATTCGTTTGCATAAGGTTGATTTCTATCCGACACAGCTCATATCATAAATCATCTATCAGATTTTGTGTCTGTTAAATTAATTATATTATTGTACAATGTAACACTCTAATCTAACAGTATAAGTCATGCTTTTTGAACTGAATATTTTATATGGTTTTTTTTCAGACTTGATTTATCCAGGACCCCTTCCGGAACTTCAAAAGGAATATAGAACATTGTCAAAAACTCTTGAAAAATATCTGCATTTACAAGGAAACTCTGATGGTATTAAAGACAGAACATTGGATACAATTAATGTGCCAGATAGCTGTCACGTTCTTAATAATGAGGAGAGTACGAAAAGCAATGAAAATAATTCCATAAATAAAATTTGTGACAGTGTTTCTTTACATTGTGTTGAAAGAGCTCTAACTTTAAATGAATTCAGTGTGCATATATCACAGAATGTGTGTAGAAATGAATCTGTACTAACCAGCAATGATGAAATTGTAGATTCTGCTATACAAATAAATTCAAAAGGATAATAGATAGATTTTCAATGTTGCACTGTAAACACACTTATTTTCATGATGGGGCCTCAGTGGCTGAGTGGTCTAAGAAGTTCATCTATTGTCTCATTGGCCTTTCAGCACTGTGGTTGTGAATTTAAACCCTGCTCTTGGCAGGTGCATTAGACTCCAATCTTAATTGTCAAAAATTGTCAGTTTTCTAGCTGCTGGTGCTCTCTGGGCACTCCTGCTTCCTTCATCAATAAAAACTGACAGCCCTGATATAGCCAATAGTGCTGACAGTGGGTTAAACAACAACAATCAATTCATTTTCATGCACGATCTACCTACAGAATTTTGGGAGAAATAATAAATGGAATATTAGTTGTTTCAAGTAGGTCAAAGATTGATAAATACAAAATGTTAGGGCTATTCCATTAAAATGTATTTGGGAGGGTAGGAAGGGACTTTCAAAATATCCCTACAACCAAGAACCATTTTTAGATAATTTTGCATAATGGCAATAGACGCATACTGATAAAAGACCCATGACCCACGTTCAATAATTAAACTTCCTTTCCTACCCTCCCACATACATTTTAATGGAATAGCCCTTAGAAAATTGTGTATAAAAATCATGCACTATGAATAAGAAATATTGGGGTTAATGAGACATCAACCTAACCAAACACAACAAAAAGACTTCTGTATGTGCCTGTCCCAATTCAGGAGCCTGTAATGCAGTGGTTATCATGTGTTGCTGTATATCATATTTGTATTTCGTTCATTGTTTTTAACATAAATCACGCCATTAGTTTTCTCGTTTAATTTATTTTACATTTCATTAGGTTGGACCCTTTATACATGTAGCTTGCTATGCAGTATGGGTTTTGCTCATTGTTGAAAGCTGTAGGGTTACCTATAGTTGCTAACATGTACATTATTTGGTCTCTGGTGGAAATTGGAATGTTGTCGTATTGGCAATCATACCACATCTCCTTATTTCATATTGGCAAGGATCTGTAGTACTCAGATTCATCATTATTATTTGATTATAGCTTTAATATGCAAATTTTTAGCAACCACAATAATATACATAAATGTATTTATACAAAATAAATAATTATAAACAAAAACAAAATACATTGATAAACAATAACAACATTGTGTAGTCACATAACCCTGGGATCAGTAGGTCAATTAAAGCTTTTACAAACTGAATATTATTAAATAGACTCTCTACACACATTGTTTCTCTTTTAAGAGGCCAAGGGAATAAATATGTACAGAGAAAAGAATATATAAAATACTGAAAGATAATAAGATTGATTGATTTTGTTTGATAAAAAAAAATTAACATGCAATGATATATATAAGTATTTTGTACATAAAATTGTAGCTTTTTAAAAAAATATTCATTACAAAGTTCAAGTAGTGTTCCATCCATTATCTAATAATTTACATGATATAGTCAATAAACTCTTCATAGATATATAAATTTTGTACACCTGACGTGAGTTTCATCTATAGAAAACTGATCAGTGACGCTCGAATAAAAAAGTTAAAAATAGGCAAAATAAAGTACTTAGAGCTTTAGCAGGATTTTCATATTTTTCTATACATATTTATGGCAGGAATATTCTGTTGGTGAGATCCTTGTCCGGCTTTTCAGTATTGTTTACAATTTAAAGAGATTATCCAATTAGTCTTGTTTAAAAGTGGTTGCAGATTAATATGTAAGCTATATTCTGCATGTATAGATACTACTGTTATGTCAGATATACTCCAAACAAACAGTTTTGACATAAAATATGGAAGCACTTTAAACGTTCATTTTTGTTCACATTTCAAAATTATATTTTCCTCTTGAAAGAAACAAAGATAGATTAAAAAAATCACTTTAATCTATATATTCCATTCAGCTTAAATAAACGTTTTCTTTTTGGTTTATAAAACTTAAAATAATTGATTGTTTTTTAAATCTTTCATAATTGAAAAATAAATATGTATACATATAATAGTATGCAAAAATTAAACCAAAATTATTTATACAAACATTTTGAAGAAAAGCCCATGCAAATGAACCTGTATATCCGGTTTATTGTATATTACAGTCAAATTATCCTTTTTAAGACAATTTTGCAATAATCTCTCTGTGAAATTGAAATAGTTAGTAAAAATTTTTTATCAAATTGAATGTAAATTACACTCCATACTTTCTTTGATTTAACAATCTTTATATATTCTAAACATGCTAGAACTTAGTAGAAGTCACAGACATTTTACAGTTTATGTTGTTGAATGTCTGTTCCAATTTGGTACATTATCTTCCATTATGATTGTCCGTATGCTTTTGTGTATCCAGATTGATCAGTCTTTGTATATTCAGATCTGGCTTTTTTCTTCTTGTCAAATATTGAAGCTGGTCTGCCTCCTGTAAAATAAATAGAGGTTACCGAAAATTTATATCAACCAATCAAAGACCACCTTGACTTGAATAAAAAAATTGTGCATTTTCGCACAATTGCAAAATGTACATATATCCTACAACTAGAATTATAAACTTTTTTCTTTGAAGATAATGATCGCCAGAAAGGAACAACTACTACATATTACATTTCTACACCAGGTATAAAAATGCCTTTGAAAGATCATTATCTTAAGCTTATCTTAACTCTTTCTCACAGCAAAATTTGAGAAGTCTCAATATGAGGGTCTGGATTTCTCTATTTTGTATTTGTTTTGCCCATTGTTCTTTTTCCCTTATTTGTCTACTCTTTTTTTGTTCCCTATTTTTTCCATTCCTTATTTTTTCTTGTCATTTATTCTGCACCTTACTTAAAAGTCCATAATAGTCAAATTTGTTTTAGCAGAATACAATTCTAAATAGCTTCTATAAGAACAAATATATCTTACCTGCATTGTGGATGGGGGAGGGTCCTTTATTTCTTGTTTCTTAAATTTTTTGCATTATTTTGTTGTATTCTTTATTTATTTTGCCCATTATTCTCTATTGTTCATATTTTAGCACCCCATTATTCTATATTATTTATTATTTTAGCATTTAATTTTTCTATTCTCCATTATTTTGCCCTTTATTCTGCACTTTTACCCATTATTCTCTATTCTGTAAAATCCATCCAGACCCTCTTTTCCAAAGTGTGTCTTCCTTAGCATAAATTCTAATATTTGAAACAAAAGGAGGTTATTTGATGGTGACTTGTTAAATAGTATGAGCTGCCAAGAACATAACCTAATTGTGTTGATCTTAAATCATGTAACAAACTTTCAATGGTATGTTTAAACTGCTGATAATCAATTAAGGCTATAGATATCCCTTTGCCGTGTTTAGGCAAAATCCCCGTTTCCTAAAATAGAATGTTAACAAACCTGCTGCTGCTGCGTGTGGCAGTTCTTTCTGTAAAATTTGATATGTTTTTGGTTGTACATCTCGGTATTTGTCATCTTCTGATTCCTGTTCTTGGGGAGGGGCGGCTGTCTGCGGACCAACTCCTCCTGGTCTGTAAATGAACAAAAATAATAATAATAGAAGGCATGATCTGAGGGTCTTGATTAGTCTTCATTTCTGTTATACGTCTTTACTTGTTATGCCATTTTCTCTATTCTTTATTTTGTTGTTCTCATTCTCTATTCTTTATATGTCAGCATCCCATTCATGCTAGTATTCTATTTTCCCTAATTTTTATCAGTTCTTGTTTCCCTTTTTTTTTGGGCTTATTTTTGTCCATTATTCTCTATTCTATAAACCCCCATTCATACCCTCTGATCTAGACAGTTGTGAAAATACCGTTGTATAATTTGACTGTTGTTAGCAGAGACATATGTCTCTGTTGTTAGTTATTTATTCTCTGGTTCACTGTTAAAGATATATTTTACTGTCAAGTATTGTTTATTCTTTTTACTTGAATTTTCGGTTATCAATAAGCAGAAATTTTAAGGTAAATCTAGTATTAGTGAATTGGCGGGAATTAAAGTATCAGCATTAAAAACCGGTGAAAATGGATTTGACTTTTTTTGTCTAAGAGCTAATATGACAGCGTGTCATTTCTACAATTACTAACTCTTTTCATGATTAAAATCAATTAATACGTATGATGTCTGACATAGTAGAATTCTATAGCTACCGCAGTGAACACGAACCCGTGAATGATCTTGAGTAACTTGTGAGCTATTGAACAGTCTAGGGTTAGATTTCAAGACATCAATATAACTTTGTTAAACCTTCATGGAATGTTGGGAACATACGTGACATTGTTTTACTTCCAATTTTGACACGATGGACCATTTACTTGATTTAAGATTGTAGTAAAGTTCTTTTACTGAAAATTGAAATAGAACAGAAAGTATGTCTGTCATTTACTTATTCCAGAATGTTTTCGAAAAAGTCGTCTAATCTGTAATTTGAACGATTATGTCCTATTCCCGATTGTGATCTTTATACAAGGGCTTGATTCGGATGTCGGGTGATGCATGCTTAGTAGAAGACGCTTACCCTGTCGATGTACCTGCGGTCTCGCTCTTCTTTTTTTTTATTCGATTCACTCGGTTTTTGTTTGTCATGTTTGTTGTCTTGATTTGTCTTTGTGCTCGATTTGTAGTATTTGAACATATCTAAACTACTGTTGCTTTTAAAGCTACGCTTTCGACAAAATATGAAATATGATTTTATTTTTAAACATTTCAAATAGCGAAAAACGGAAATAAAGAAATAATATTTTTCGCTATAAGCAGTCATTTTGGTTTAATTTTGTCAAATTAGCTATAAAAAAAAATCACTGGTGCATTATTGACTTGCAAGTCAATAATTCAACTCATTTGAATCAGTATTCTTGCAACCTTTTAATTTTACCTTTAGAGAAGATGTTCATTATATGTTTCATACATTAAAAAGAAAAGAATGTCAATATTGAAATGTGAAACAAATGAGACACCAGGACGACCATTTCGTTGACTGATCCGACAACAAAAAATCATTTTTATCCATTCTTATCTTATAACAGTTGTTATCCATTCGTTTGATGTGTTTGAACTTTTGATTTTGCCATTTGATTGCATGGGGACTTTCCTTTTTGAATTTTCCTCGGAGTTCAGTAATTTTGTGATTTTACTTCTTATATATTGGTAAAATGATGATTAGCATATATTTTAATCTATAACATGAAATCTAACAGATCTAGAAAAATCCGATTGCACGTGCTCTGTATCTATTTATATTTATGTTAATCTCGAGTTGGAAGCAAGACAACTCGCCTCACTGCCAAAATCGCCTAACATCAAATCCCCCCACCTTTTCCACCAAGTCGCCCCACTCTCTACCAACTCGCCCCGTTCTTGTTTACCAACTCGCCACACTTATGAAAACGGGTTTAATCCCGATGAATAAAGGCCCGCCAACTCGTCCCACTTATGAAAGTAGTTTAATCTACACAATCTCCCCAACTGCACTGCTAAAATGACAATAGAAAAAACACTTGTATTACTAATAAAAATAGAAAATTTAATACTAGTATATGATTCTGATTCAAATTAAATGATGCTTCATTTCTTATAATAAAGTTGTAGATACATTATTTAATTATTATGTGAAAAGTAAAATAGCAAAAATACCGAACTCCAACGGTAAGTCCTTTATCAAATGGTAAAATCAAAAGCTCAAACATATCAAACGAATGTAGTATTTATTTGAGAAAAAACTTTATTCTTGCAAGCTTACATAATTAAAAATAATTTCATAGAAACCAGATAATTGTATCATAATGCGATATATTATCATAACAATTTAAGGATTCTTATTTAACAGCAATTTGTTTTTATAGCAATTTACGGATTTTTTGTCTTTAGAATTAATGGCTAACAAGCAATCAATGAAAGACAAAAGGGACGAGTTGGCAGACCTTTATTCGTCTGGATTTAACTCCTTTTTCATAAGTGTGGCGAGTTGGTAGTCCAAATTATTAATGCAGTACGGTATAATTCTTTTTTTCATTAATCCCTCATTCAGTCAACGTTAATATGATACCTAAGCTGTCTACAAAACTTTGAATTGTTCGAAATACTTGGGATTTTCTAGCCTAGGAATAGATTTACATAAACTGTATTTGTAAAGAAATGGTTAAAATTATACGCCTCGTATCTTATTTTTTTTAGTAGAATTATACATATTCCCAAGTCACCAAGTTTTCTTTATTTAACGTAGGTGTGGTCATGGCTACCGTTATACCTTGTGGTTCATGTTTGTGCGATGAAACCCATTAGAATGCTAGAAAACGGTGCACCAGTTGTGAAGAGGGTTTATGTGAAGAGTGCGAGAAAAAACCACTAGGGACCATAAACTTATCTTTATTGACGATTATCGGAAAATAGTAGACGTCACAATCCCCGTTACTTGCAGCGATTATGACAAGAAACTAGAGTGGTTTTGTAAATCTCACGATACAGCTCTTTGTGTGGTTTGTTTGCCGACTGAACACAGATCTTGTTCCGATGTCATACCAATAGATGTTGCTGATACAACTATACAATCCACAGCTATATCCGACGTGCGGGATGCAATTGAGGTAACATTGCGTAATATAACACTTTGCACCAACAGTCGAAATACTACCAAAAAGGATATTGATAAGCAAGAGAAAGATATCAGAAGAATTATTAGAGATACGAGAACAAAAATAAATGGTCACTTAGACGAGTTGGAACAAAAATTGATGCAAACATTGGTATCAGCAACAAAAACATGCAAATCAAAATGTAATAACTTTCTACAACAGTTTAATATACAAGAGGAAAATCTTATCAAACTAAAAGATCAAGTATCGCAAATGAAGAAGTTTGCCTCCGACCTACAAGTATTTATTGGAACGCATCAAATTGACAAATTGGTTATGAGTGAAATAGAATCCATTAAAACTTCGACCGATTCTATATACAATTACAAACTCAACCTGGTTCTAAACAGTGATATTCAGAAATTATCAATTGGTGTAGTCAAAGAGTTTGGAGAAACTCAAGCCGCTGAACATACCACAAACTTTAAAGACATTAAAGAGCTAAAAATAGAACAGGTTCAAATGCAGCAAAAGCTAGCTACAGCCCTTGTCAAATTATTAACAAAGGTTGATGCAAAGAAAGAAGGACAGATGTGTATTACAGGTTGTGCTATATTGCCTAATGGGCATCTATTGTTTGCAAACTTCCAAACAAATTTCTTTAGCACACTATTGAAGTACAATGAAGGAGGTACCTACATTGATAGTATTTCAGTGTCTGCTGCACCGTATGATATCACAGTGCTAGACTCGGATTGCATTGCAATCTCATACGGAAATAAAGTAATCTTCGAAATATTTAACTATCGCAATAGACGGGTTGAAAAGAAGATAGAGACTGGAGGTGATTGCCGGGGATTAAGTCAGTCAAATGGTAAATGTTATGGATGGACAAGAAGTATGGAATTTCCACGATGATTCTTTGCAGCATCCTTACGGCGTAGCAAACGATCGTCGTGGCCACGCTTTCGTTGTTGGTCGCAAGTCTAGAAACCTGATACTTATACATGTACAAAACGACGGAAAAACATATAAAAACTTGCTCAATTTGGAAGGTGATTCTTCTCCGCGTGCGGTATGCTATAATAAGGACAAAAACACTGTATACTGGTCTGTGATCAACACGGTGGTGCTTGTGCCTTGTATAAAGTATTGTACAAGTAACTTTTTCCAAAACTAAAAATGGTCTAGCAATTTATTCAGTTTGAAATGATACCACTATTATTCTTAAGCTTATGATTATATATTTACAACGAACAACCAAGTAGTTAATCATGTCTGTTTACAATTTTTCTAACTTATTAACAATATATATTAGTAAGATGTAGTATGATTGTCAATGAGACAAAAATACACCTGAGTCCAAAGGACGTGGATGTAAGCAACTAGCATGATGATTTATTTCAATTTCCATCTAAATAAGAGACTTTATAAGCATATTATGACTTGCCTGCTTTGTAGCAAATTAAAAGCTGGAATTTGATTGACTCATGCACTTGATACTAAGCAAGCACCTCATCTGAAAACTACCATGGTACATTATAATTACTTACATTTTGTCATGTCGTGGCTTTTTATAGGTGACTCATTATTGAAGGCCGTACAGTGACCTAAATAGTTGCTTGCATCCACGTCATTTGGACCATGGTTGATAGTTGTCCCATTGGCAAAAATATAGAATGTCCTTTTTTATATCCTATAACTGTGTCACTGTTCCAGTACTAGTCTTATTTGTACAGTAATAGAGACGAAACGCATTTAGCGTAATTATAAACCCGGCATCTTTTATTAAATCAAAAAAGTTGAAGAAATATAATGCGCCCGCAGCACTTTTCTGGATTAACCTAAATCATGAACGCTCAAAACCGACACTTTTGAAAGCCAAGGATGTTTAAGAACCGAAACAGGTGAAGAGCAGTGACAAAAAGGACCTTAAAATGATAGCGAAATCCATTTTAGATCAACTTTGCCTGAGGAAGTTGGAACCTTAGATTCTTGAAAACTGGTATTTACTGCTTCTCCGCTAAGTACTTGGTATTAAGAAATAACAGCAAATAAATGGGGAATGTGTCCATGGGACACAGATGATGCCCCCGCTTGCATATAACGTTATAAATGAATAAAACTCAAGAACTGTAAAAGTGACGCTACCCAAAGTTGTACTTGATCTGAGTTTTGTGGTAATAAGCATTGTGTATTCGTTCCATAACATTTAGTTGAGGCAAACTTAAGTTAGAGAACGGAAACGAAAAATTCAGCAATTTTTCCATTTGTAAATGGGCATAACTCTTGAACGGTAAAAGTGACACCAAAAAATTCGAACTTGATCTATTGTTTGTGGTAATTAACATTGTGTATAAGTTTCATAAAATTTGGCAGAGGCAAACTAAAGTTAGAGAACAGAAACGAATATTTCAGCAATTTTTCCATTTGTAAAGGGCATAACTCTAGAACAGTACAAGTGACACCACCAAGATTCGAACTTGATCTGTGTTTTGTTGTATTAAGCATTGTGTATAAGTTTCATAACATTTGGTTGAGGCAAACTAAAGTTAGAGAACGGAAACGAAAAATAAATTCAGCAATTTTCCATTTGTACAGGGGCATAACTCTAGAACGGTGAAAGTGACGCCACCAAAATTCAAATTTGATCTGTGTTTTGTGCTAATAAGCATAGTGTATAAGTTTCATAACATTTGGTTGAGGCAAACTAAAGTTAGAGAACGGAAACAAATTTTGGGAGGTACGGACGGTCAAGGGTAAAACTAAATGGCCCCTCCGCTACGGCGGTGGCATAAAACTGGTCGGCTTGTCAGTTGGTATATTGGTATAGATTGATTGATTAATTGTTGTTTGCTTTACGCCCAGTGGTAAATATTTCAGATGTGTGCAGGACTAGAAAACAAATTACAGGTCGTGTAAAAGGGGTCGACCGCGACGAAGGGCATAGAATTTAGAGATAACTGTATTGTATTTGAAGCTTTGCGGACGTCCATCGGTAGTTTTGTTGTCGCAAATTTAGTTTACCTGGCGACGCGTAGCGGAGACAGGTAAACGGATATTTGCGACAGTAAAACTACCGATGGACGTCCGCAAAGCTTCAAATACAATACGGTTAATATATCTATATTCTAATGCAAAATAAACAAATCATTCAATTTTAGTCATAATGACATTATTTTAGTGTAAATTTTCATTAAACGAAAATTCCGCGAAATGATGTTATCTTCTTTGGCGCCTAAACTAGATGACGTCATAGATATGCATCCGGCATCAAACGTAAACACCGGGCGTTTTCGGGCTTCTTGTCCGCTTCAGAATGTAATAAAAGTTGATAAAAAGAATATTTCAAGGTGCAAAATGTGAGTTTTATGCTTATAATTAGAGAAATTACATGTCAATATATTCCGGAATTCAAAATGTCGGCTTCCTTAGTTACAGACAGGGAGATTGAGAATTTTACGCTTATATTCATCCAATCAGAACCATTGATACGAAATAATTGCATTAGAATTGGTAATGCCACTTGAAAATGTGAGTATATTGGATGGGGACCGTATTTTAGCCTTACAACAGGACACCTACAGACCCACCAAAGAGTTGTTACAGGAGTTCTTTAACGTGCAGAGAGCTTTGCACTATCTCTACAAGAGGCATCAGATTTAACCGGACATGGTTGAGTATTTATACATCCTGCACATCTAAACAGGTGCCCCTTTACTGCCAGTCGGAGGAAGACCAATAGTGACCATATTTGTTGTATCCAGTCACCATTGTGGTGCGGCAATTTCATAGTAAAAATAGCAAATAGCAATTACATAAATGATAAAAGAAGAATGTCTCCATGGGACACAGATGCCCCCGGTTATAAATATAAATTATGGCAAATTCAGCAATTTTTCAATTTATAAAGAGACATACCGGGTAACTCGAGAACGACGAATATGATTCCACTCAAAATCAAACTTGATATGTTTTTGGTGGTAACAAGCATTCTACATAAGTTTCATATCATTTAGTGAAGGCAAACTAAAGATAGAGTGCGGAAACGACAAATTAAGCAGTTTTCCATTTATAAAGGGACATAACTCCAGAACAGTGAAAGTGAAGCCACCCATATTCAAACTTGATCTGTGTTTGAAAGTAACAAGTATTGTGTGTGTGTTTCATATAACTTGGTTTAAGCAAACTAAAGTTAGAGAACAGAAAATAATTTTGGGACGTACAGACGGACAAGGGTAAAACTTAATGCCCCCTCTGCCGCGGCGGGGACATAAAAATATCAGAAAACAAGCAGAGACAGAAAATACTGTCCATGAGGACGGGTCGGAGTCAGAATTAATATTCCAGGTACAATGTAGTGTGACATGTCTTCCTAAAGACTGTTAAATTGTGAACTTGTATGACAAAAATCTGGCTCGGTGTGTCGGTCTAGTACAAAGCAGGGTTTACATTCGTCTTGATTCAATATTAATATGCATGTAATATTTGCCACATGACGTTAACTGAACCAAATCTCTCATCATTCAGTTTACCAAAATGAAAAGGTATACATATACTAGTAAGCACATTCTCCATCAGCAAGTAAATATATACAAATATATAAATTTCCTGTAAAAATACTAAGGAAAGTGTAGGGTATGAGACAGTAAGCCAACATTTAACAACTATATGTTCGTTCTGAAGTTATCACAATTGTGAAATCGTTCCAACAAGCGTGTTTAATGCTATGCTGATCATGAATTTAACAATTACAGATACGGTATTCTAGACAAAATATCCAAATATGAACACTTATTACCTTCTGGCAGCCTCGGTGGTATCGTGGTAGCGTGTTCGCCTCTAGTGCGGGAGGTTGTTGTTTCGAACCCTGGCCACTTCAAACCAAAAACTTTGAAATTGGCTTGGCTGCTTCTCCGCTAAGGACGCGGCATTAGGAGTAAAAGCATAGACTGGTTGACTTGCGGAGTCAGAATAATGTGTCCAGGAAGGGTAACATGTCTTCCTGCTGGCTGTTACCTTGTGAACTAGCACGTTTAAAATTTTACTCTGCGTGTAGGTCTAATACTAAGCAGGGTTAATATTCATATTACATTAACTTGTTTTAGTCCTAAATATGCATTTAATATGCCGTTAAACGTTAACCAGTCATCCATCATTATACAATTATTGACTTTAAATGAGGTTGATACAATGTTTTAGCTAACCCTAGAGATAGTTGGCCTCGGTGAATATCATATCTCTGGTGTTGATAAATCATTGTACCAACCTCATCCAAAGTCAATAATTGTATAATATAACTATTACCTTCTAATGGTCATGTCAATATCGTTTCCTGCTCTGATCATCTCGTTCCTGGCGTGTTGATGTGTGACGTCTTCGACGAAGGCTTTGTTAATGTAGCAAATCAAGTCACCGTCCCGCAAACCGGCTTTTCCGGCAACACTCTTGGGAGATACCTATAAACAAAATTCGAAATATCTTACTTATACAAGTATTAATCTATAGATTATTGGTATGAATACGATTGCTCATCATTGAAATTAAAGGGCGTTTCCGTTTGAATGAATTAAAGATAGATTCAATTATTTTTTTATGGATTAAGGTGCAATTTTTTCATAAAAAAATATTCAGCTACAATTATGAGAGTCTAGAATGGGGTCCTTCATCTTTTTATGCTTAAAATATTTAGACAATTTTTTTTTCTTTATTTTTTATATTTCAGCACCCCATAATTATTTATTCTTTATACTTTTTGCCCATTATTATCTATTCTTTATACTTTTTGCCCATTATTCTCTATTCTGGAAACCACACCCAGATTCTTATATATTTCGCAGACATTTACGTTCACTTCAGAATGAGCAGATGTGTGAAGAATAAAAAAATGAGGAGATATGGTATGATTGCCAATGAGACAACCATCCACCTGAGACCAAAGGGATAGGATATGAACAACTATAATAGGTCATGGTCCGGCCTACAACAATGAACCAAACCCATATACATGTAGTAAGCTAAAAAGACCCCGGCATGACAAAAGAGAAAACCTAAGGCCTGATTTAATAAAGAAAAATAAAGCAGGCAGAATTCATCCAGTGACAACAACTGAATAAAAGCAGTGGCGGATCAAAGGAGGGGTTGGGGTTGGAACCCCCCTTTCTTTGACGATCAATGCTTTCAAATGAGGACAAATGGTTGGAACCCCCCTTTTTAAAATGGCTGGATCCGCCCCTGATAACAGGCTCCTGGCTTGGAACAGGCACATAAAGGACATAGCGTTGGATGCTGTGTAATCGACAGAAACCCCATATCCCCTTCATATCCACTTCGCGGTAGTTTAGCCTGAATTATTATTTTAACTCTCCGTTTATTCATTTAAATTTAAATTACTGTAGTATGACGTAACCTCCAGACGTGCTAGATGACTTTTGTTTTTCGTATCATTGGGTTGCTGTCACGTTAACCGACTTCTCATTTTTTTTCCTTAATGGAATTACAGCTGTTTGTTCCTCGTGCGCTTTTCTGGTCCAGTGATAGAATTTACAAATAACAAAGAATACAGAATACAGAATGTTGCACGTGTTTGGTCGATGTAAAACAGATGTTTTAATTTCTGCAAGTTTGAAAATAATGGTCCGGTGGATTGACTTTCGCTGTATTTTATTTTATCCCACTTTTGTTTTTGTTTTTTTTTTTCAAATGTTTCTGACAATAAACTGTTTTATGGACTTTTAAATGTAAAAATGTGAAATAAAATTAATTTAGTGGTTAAAAATCTGGAAATATTTTTTAAGAAATTAAAAAAAAAATCATATTTATAATTACTTCGTTTAGTACGTTTATGAAAAATAATATATGAAGTAAAACAATACACCATACAAAATTTGAAATTTTTGGAGGAAAAATAAATAAGTATTTACCTGTTACAGAATTCCGTTCGATCTAAATCAAGATGGATGAATAATCTGATTTAAGAAATCTTACACGTTTAAGACACGGGGCCTTAGTTTGGGGTTGTTTTGATGAAGGCAAGGAATTAAATATATTTTTATGAAATCTTGTGTATTTTATTTTATTTGTTCGCTTTGTGATTTAGAGAAAAAATATCTGACTTCAATTCATCAGAAAGTATTACTAAGACAACTTATTTTCATCAAAAGTTTTTTAGTTAAAACTGCGAGATTTCTTACCCCTTTGAGTTATTTTATTTTCAAAGGAATGGCGTAAATAGTTGCAGATTTTTTTTAAAAGATAAGAAATTGAATGAGTCATAGGAAGTGGAGAAAATACGCGACTATAAGGGTAAGCAAAAATTAAAATTAATTGTCATCTAATCACGCTAATGAAAATGTCAGAATTTTAAATTACCAATTTAAAAAATAATGTATTTCAATTTCAACGATTTAAAATGGTATTAATTACGACTATCGGATTTTACATGTATTTCGCCATAAACAATTTGCACCAAAAAAACCTGCATTTTCTAAAAATTCCATTATAAAATATCCGCCATGTCTACGCATATGAAGAGAAGATTCTAAATTCCTAACTCGGGTAGGAAAAGCACGGTTTTGTTAGTAATGACATAATAGAAATGTAATATTAAGAAGTTAAACAGAATTTTTAAACATCCAGGAAAGGATTTTTTCGGAAATTCATTTCAACATACATGTTCTACTTCGATTCGTCCAACTCGAGTTAGTAGAGTCTATCGAGTTTACTCCGAGTTTCAATCAAACCTCCCGAGTTTGACCTTTTGAACTTACCCGAGTTAACTCGACATCAACCCTGGGATGATGCAGGTTTACTAGAGTTACAAAATGGCGACAAACAAGAACAGCAAAGAAGAGTATGATACAATTAACAAAAATTTTACAAAATACAACCGGAGAAAGGGGCTGTAATTGAAATTTAGTTTTTTGTTGTTGTTTATTTTTGGCATTAAATAAATATTTTTCATGTGTAAATACCTTCGGTGATGTTTATAGAGCAGAGAAAAAAAAACCGATATTTTCTTGATTTTGAGTTGCGAAGAGTAAGATGTGAATATATTACGACAATCCATTCTCTTTACTTACAATAGTTTTAAAATTAATAAAATGATCTGGTAAGAACTGGAAATGAATAAATGATAGAAGTTCTATAAAATAATAAAGTTACAAATTTGAACATAAAATTGTTTATTGTCGACGTCCATAAAAAGAAAATAACAACTGCTGCTATATTTATATCCACCATTTTTAGAGTCAACTCGAGAAGAGTGTTCACTTCGATTCGGGAAGGGTGCGCACTTTCGCATTAACACTGATTTTATAACTCTTGTCAACCCGGGGGTCGGTTTCACGAAGCTATCCTAAGACCTGTCATAAGATATATCTTAGGACATGTCTTATGATCCACTTATGACTATCCTAGGACATATCGCAGACCTCGCGTCGAAGCTGTCTTAGGATGATCTTAGCAAAGATATTATAAACCTGTCGCAAGTTCTTTAAATTTTTAAATAATAACATTGAGTTATGGAAAAATTCGTGTAAATGTAGTATATATTTCCCATAAATTACTAAGTGTATTGATAATTAGATAATTTGCAAAATCAATATAAAAAATAAGTGTAATTTATATAAATAATCTATTGATAATATACTAATATACATATGAACTTTAAATACAAAATCGAGAAAAAGGAATAAAATTATAATTTTTTTTTTTTGCCAGTATAAGTGAGTTGAATTCAATTTGTCACTGTATCGGTTAAAATAGGGTTAAAGGATAAAATCGTGCATTCTTGATACCAATACATCGAATGTTTATTGTTGACAAGTCATGACAATCTGTCAACCAAAAAAGATTTAGTTGTGAGCAGGAAAACAGGGGAATGGATAATTAGATAATAATAAGATAATTTACAAAATAAAAAAATTAGTGTAATTTATATAAATAAACTTATGACTATCCTAAGACCATCATAAGACACCTCTCGTGTAGTCCTAACTTTATGACCAACTTTAAGAGGTGTCCTAATTTAGGACCACTTTGTGAAACCCACTTAGGACTAAGATATGCCGTAAGACCATCCTAAGACATGTCTTAGTCCTAAGACAGCTTCGTGAAACTGGCCCCTGAGTTGGACGAATCGAAGTAGCCCATGACGTTTTGATTTCAAATCATAAGATGCCAAAGGTATAGAAAAATTAATACATTACAAAAAAGGGGTATGCAAATGTGTTCTCTGTCATTAAAATGCATATCTTTAGCACGATTCATAATTGATATCAGAGACATATATATAAATTATAATATGAATTAATTATGTCTCAGTTGATGTGATTGAATTGTTAGTAAAATCACTAAGGAAATAATTAAGTACTTATTTTATTTCATTACATGGAATGATAACACCCTGATTGGTTGCGAGGTACAGTAAATACAGTCTTGTGTTTTTAAGTGCGAAAATCAAGGATTTTTTATCTGCAGGAATAATGTGTGAGAAATATGAATTATTATATGTTATATACACATGAAAAGAAAACAAGCAATAAGATAAACAAACAAGCAAACAAATTTATAAATAAATAAATATACAGGTTCAATGTATGTCTGTTAATGCGGAGATAATTTCAATCACTGAAACATCGATAACACTGATATCTTCACGCGTGCATAAATACTTGTACGCGTGCCAGCTGAATTCCACATTTGGCTGCTAGTGTAACCCGACTCCTAGATAACATTATTATTTACTGTCATTGTACTCCATAACATTAACTGATCTGCACAATCAACCAGAGTGTAATTGTTACTTTTGTCAAAAGCAATACAGCGTGTAGAATATACATTTTTACACTAAATATCAAATGCGAACTTATTTTATTTTCATGATGATTAGATTTGATGATTTTGTATGTATCATTTTGTACTTACTTTATGAGGGCCTCTAGTAAAGATTAGGGAAAACTAATTGGGTTAAAATTACCCTCTTTAAATAAAGAATATTATCATTATTTACGATTTAAGTATGAAATCGTACTGCTAATGTATGAGATATTTGCCACTGCTGATAATTTAAGAGAAACAACATTCAGCTAATTATGATAATATATGTTATATAATCATTAATTTTTTATCTTGAATATTTACATTCAAAATCGTGATAGTGAATAAAATTGTAGAGTTATTGTTTTTATAACTTTTAATTTACAGAAAAATGATTTCCCTTAGGGCAGCGTTGAGCAAAAGTTTTAAATTTTAATAATCTGTTTTAATTTTGTTGACATATATAATACATATTCCTCGGGATAAATTCTTTCAAGCATGGGTTGATACATTGAATATAGCTTTCTAATGAATCACTGAAAGTATAAAGAAACATTGATTGTAAATACAGGTAACTACAAAATATGTAGAAAATTTTAAGTTTATGAAAAATTCACAAAAATACTTGATCAATATCTTAATTTTTGTTATGAAACAGAACAATTTACAATTCCATCCTTGGGATTCAAAATCAAAGACCAGACTATGATAGTTTATATATGTATATCAGGGTAACATATTTAGTTGTTTTTTTTTACGTGTACAACCCACCAAACATGATTATACACCTCTATTTAAATAGCGAACCATTTTTGAATAGGAAATCTTTACATACCTCAGCAACCTGGAGTGGGATCCCGACCTCGGATCCTCCTTGCATTTTAAATCCCCATGGCTGACCGGTGTCATATCGCCTCAATTTGCAGACCGTTATTTCACTGCCCGCCATTTTGCTACACCTTGTCGATTATCCTGATGTTACTTTCTTCAAGAATGTGTACACACCCACGAGAGTGTATATATTGTTATTGTATATATGCCGAACTTTCATTATCATGTTATCATAATTACACGTGAGTGCCCCGATCACACACAGGAATATCATACGCGTAATTGCGTTTTTTAACAGAACCCTGTCCCGAAAAAATATGAATGATTTGAAAATCAAGAATAAAAAAAGAAATCTTTAATTTTAAATTCGCTACTTCCCATCCGTCTTGAGATGCAGTTAGAAGACAATCATGTGCAATTATCGATATATGAGGCTCTGGGTGGGGTTGACAGAATAGAGAATAATGGGCCAGAAAAAATAAAGAATAGAGAAAAATATTAATGGCGTGCTAAAATTTAAAGAATAGAGAATAATGGTCATAACTTATAAAGAATAGAGAAAAATGACTTAAAAATTAAAAAAAAAGATGAAGGACATCCCATCCAGACAATCATATAAGGGAAGTGCGATTCGGGCAAACATTATTTGATTGATGTCTCTATACAGATACATTGGAACACAACTAACAATAGCACTGTGCTTACGGACAATCTTTTGGGCGTTGGCATATCTAGCGTGATACAAACCCCGTTGGAGTAACCAGTCATGCAAAACTTTTCTTAATTTTCAAGTTTGCAAAAGCAAATATGATGTCCGCTGATAGGTTGAATGTTCAGTTCGAAGCATTTTTTTTCGCCTAAATGATAAAAAAAATTTTAATTCGAAAACATTATTAGGAATTGCTGTTTGTCCTTTAAGTGCCTGTGAAATACGTGCCTTTGTGATTAAATATTAGGGTTGCCCGATTTGATTAAAAAAATACTGAGACAATTCACAAGTTGTCGCAATATTCAAACACTATTATTTGAAATGATGCATTTTATTACGAAACTTATTCAAAAATGTTCGATAAAGTACGTTGAACATTTTTTAAACATTCAAAAAGATTTTAATTCTGCTAGTCAGCCGTGCTGTTCCTTTTTTGACTGTGTTACTTTATTTTTAGGGTTTGTTTTTCTTTCCCTTGGTCGCATCAATCTGTGACGCCTTCCTTCCTCTCTACTTATGGAAATGTTTTGTGTATATGTTTTGCTGTCAGTATGTATTCTTCTATTGCGATTGATAGGGGTCAAACATTGAAGGTTAATATTTTTTTTTTTTGTAGAAAATGCTCAAAATAAATTGAAAGTAACAATATTCCTGTTTTCCCGTTTTTTTTTGTAAATATTTTGGCCAGGGAAATGTTAGTTTCTGTTAATATGTAATCAATTCTGCGTTCGCATTGTGCATTTCACATCTTCAGTAGTTATATTCTAATGAAGCTTAGTTTAATGAACGTAATCTCGCATTAGTACAGACGTTTCTTTTATAAACGATACAGTTAATGCGAAAGACGGACGGGCTGTACAAGTATATTTATTTTGATTGATGTACAAGTGTCGTTGCCGTACTTCCAGGTTAGATGTTTTGCCAACAGACTTGACGGATTGGAACATATGTATTGTCTATAAATCTGTAATTATTATTATGCTGCTGATATTATCAACAAAGAATTACTGATTGTTTATTTTCATTTCAGTATAAAAGCTGTTGTCGAGATTATTTGTTATTTATTATACTTCAAGTATCGTCTGTATACTTACTCAATTAACAGGCTTCTGACAATAACGTGGAGCAGTAAGTTTTTTTTTCTCTCTACCGGTATGAACTACACCAGGAGCGGATCCAGTATTTTTTTAAAGTGGGGGCGTTATTCCCGATAATTGATGATATGGATATATAAAGTTTTTGGACTATTTTATACTATAAATTTATATATATCTCTTAAAAAGCATGACTTTTTTGGGGGAGGGTGGCGATCAAAGGGGGGACGTACGCCGTCTACGCTTCCCTGAATTTGCTACTGTACACCCTCTACGCCCCCTTTATCTGCCACTGTACACCCTTAGTTTCCATAGTGTCAAATAATTCTATTTTAAGATATATACATAAGGATTTTGAGCCTTCAATTCCTTCAGATTTTTTATGCCGACTAACCCGAAATTTTATTATTAATATTTTTTTTAAGAACAGTTTGTATCCACGACATTTTAACAGCCAAATTTTAAATATTACTTGCACATGTTGAGAGATTTTGATTTTTGAATTTTTGTGAATTTTTGAAACTTCAAATATCGACTTTCACTACAAATAACATTTAACATTAAGATTTAGAAAGTGAAAATTAAAAAAAATGCAACAGTATAGCATTTTTATTTCGATTTCCATGTTGAACTCAGTATTTCGATTTCCAGGATCAAAATATTTTTCTCCCCTGTTTTGTTCGGTTAATACAAATATATTTTCATACTTAGACATATGGATAGATATACATATGCTCGTCTTTATAAAAATTACATATCAAAATATATGTTGGTTTTTCCGTTTGAATGGTTTTACACTAGTAATTTTTTTTGGGGCCCTTTATAGCTTACTGTTCGGTGTGAGCCAAGGTTCCGTGTTGAAGACCGTACTGTGACCTATAATGGTTTACTTTTATAAATTTTGACTTGGATGGAGAGTTGTCTCATTGGCACTCATATACCACATCTTCTTATATCTATAAATATAATATCATGAAGCCATTTTCACCAAGAAATGATAATAACGTCCGATAAATTTTAATTACAAAATTAATTCTGATCAGAAATCGGTAAAACAAATCCCTGTTGACGCATCTGATCTCTCCACTATCCGTTTAGAGTTCATTCGATTGCGATTGTTATCATTTTGCATAAATTTATACCTTGACATCTGATATGAAAAAAAGTATTAACACAAATACCGAACTCCAAGGTAAATTCAAAAAGGGGGGAAGTCCATAAAACCGGACGAAAACAAACGCTTGACTGTATCAATCATGGTAACGAATGGACAACAACGGTCATATTCCCAACTTGGTACAGGCATTTTCCGAAGCCATGATGTGGTGGGTTAAACCTGGTTGTATAGCTTCATTGTAGTTAAACCTCCACACTGAACATCAGTAATGTGCATATGTACCCAAAATCCTACAACTAATCTATAAATTAGCCTCACAACAAAATAAGCATTTTAGGGTTTAAAGCTGGATAAATTCCTCATGTTGCATCAAGTTTTGTTCGGGTTATTGATTTGATTCGTCATTATAAAAACAATCTACCGGGAAAGTCTCAAACTATACAAGTTTCTGTCTCTCGTCGCAGTATTCGAGACATATAAGGATTACTATCCGGCGAAGTAAACTATTTGTTTAAGGTTTATAATTCACAAGGTGTATCTTATGTTACGAAGTTTCCGTCTGTCATGTGTCCATTGTCCTTGACCTCTTGAATTTCTCACTTTATATGAGTTATAGGATAACTATATTTGGTATATAGGTTCCTTGTAACGTCTACATGTCCGGAGACAGGGTTCACCTGACCTCATTTCATGGATCAGTGATCAAGGTTAAAGTTACGCGATTAGGTCCGTTTCTCTGATTCAATAAGCAGTAGGTCAACTATATATGTGGTGTATAGAATGATCGTAAGGGGTCTGGCAAGTTTAATCTGACCATGACCTTGTTTTCTTGGTTCAGAGGCTTATGTTAAGTTTTTGTGTTTTGGTCTGTTTTTCAACTACTATAAGCAATATGTCTACTTTATTTGGTGTATGGATTAATTGTATTGTGTAAATGTATATGTCTGTCTGACAGGATTTATCCGACCTTGACCTCATTGTCATGGATTTTTAAAAATGTTAAGTTTATGTGGTACTTGTAGTAAAACCTTTATCTCTAAGACTTTCAGCATAAAATAAATGGCCAGTAAAGCAGGCGAGACATTACAGCGTGTACACTCTTGTTGTTAAATAGTCGCTCTGTAAATAACAGGTACCAGAGTGATGTCACCTTACTCGAGAGTTTGGCTCCCGCAGTTCAGAATTATACGCAGCTACACCCCATTTAGACATTGACTTCCAGATACACAATTGGAACTAAAATGACTATAGTTTTCAGCGGGAGGTGTGGCACGCTGTGAAACCTGACTCAAACCAGCCCTTTCTTTCTAAAGCGTTGAATAAAGTCAGGACTTATGACCGTCAATTTCCAATAATTCCCATGAGGATACTTGATTTGATTGATTAATTGTTGCTTGCTTAACGTCAAGTGGCAATTATTTCAGGCATATTCAGGACGAGAACAAATAAGCAATTAACACAAGTAGGTTCTGCAAGTTGGAATGAACCGGACGAGGGGCGTGGTCTGCCACTAGATATGTTGGATAGGATTAAAACGTTTGCCTTGGAACAGGCCACCTACGGACATCTCTGAGGTTGTAGAGAGCTTGGCACTCGTCATACTCAAGGCATATTCAGGACGAGAACAAATAAGCAATTAACATAAGTAGGTTCTGAAAGTCGGGATGAACGGGATGAGGGGCGTGGCCTGCCACTAGATATGTTGGATAGGTTAACGTTTGCCTTGCAACAGGCCACCTACGGACATCTCTGAGGTTGTAGAGAGCTTGGCACTCGTCAATCTCAAGGTATATTCAGGACTAGAACAAATAAGCAATTAACATAAGTAGGTTCTGAAAGTCGGGATGAACGGGATGAGGGGCGTGGCCTGCCACTAGATATGTTGGATAGGTTAAAGTTTGCCTTGCAACAGGCAGCCTACGGACATTTTTGAGGATTTTTGCAAAGGGTTCTTTAACATGCAGAGAGCGTAACAATCGTCATACTTATGGTATTGGATTTTACGTCCCCAATTTGACCAGACGTGTTTGCTCATTTATACATCCCGCACTACTGGGTTACAGTCTTTTGAAAACATTTTTAGAAAATCAGCCAGTATTCAGGGACATCCTTTTTTTAAAGAAAATATCTTGGAGATTAGTCCATACGTCATACCTACTGAATATCTACTTATAAAAATAAGGAGATGTGGTAGGATTGCCAATGAGAGAACTATCCATTAAAGTTCAAATGAAGTGGATGTAAACAATTATAGACAACCGTACGGCCTTCAACAATGAGAAAAACCAATACCGTATGGTCGGCTATAAAAAGCCCCGACATGAAAAAAATGAAACAATTCATTTCAGAAAACTAACGACCTAATTTATATCTACTTACGTTGTTGCAGCTAATAATGTTCACTATAATTGAGGACAAACAAATTAAGTAAAGGGAGGGGAGTATAACATTTTTGTGCAAGAATACCGAAAGCTTGAATAAATGGAAAGAAATTTTAATGGGCATTCATGGTTTTTTGTATGTTTGACTGTCCTTATCATATTTTCCTCATAAGATAAACAATGATTTAGGAAACATTTGCATTTATTAACATAACAGTATCACCTTTGTTTTAAAAATGGACGGATAACATTCTAAAACTAACAGAGTTTGATATTCTAATTAATAATACATACACTTATAATTTAAAATAACTAATAAATACTAGTATAACAATTAACCATATGTATTGTTTTGAACTAAAGAGAAAAAATGAAAAATGGCGAAGAATCAGAAATTTTCTTGCAGAATGGTTACACATGGCCAATTCTATTCACCATGTCAACATTCGTTGCATTTACTGTGCTTCCGTTACAACTGTAATATTGGTTTGCTTGATAGCTATAATTTCATCTACTCCCAACATACTATAAATTTTTAACAATCCAAAAGAAGAGGGTCTGGATGGGGTTAATAGAATAGAGAATAATGGACCAATACTACAAAAAAATAAGCTATAAAAAAGAGAAAAATTAGGCCATAAAATAAACAAGAGAATAATGGGGTGTCAAAATATCAAGAATAGAGAATAATGGGCAAAAATATACAGAATAGAGAATAGAATAATCAAATTATGGGCAAAAAATATAGAGAAAAGTGGCTAAATAATTGAAGAATACAGAATTGAGGGACCCCCACCCAGACCCGCATAGAAGTTGAACGAAAATCCAAACTTTTATATATATTGTTTTTGGTATTAAACATATATATGTTACCATTATAAACACAAAATAAATGAGAGGAACTAAACAAAAAAGCACAATACATTTTATACTGTTGATATTCACTTTTTTATCATACAGCAATACAAAATCTTGACCTCAATTAAGAATTGAATGCTTCTTTTTGTAATTTTTTTGGGGTGTAAAAGTGTTGACCGAAGCACATTTTGTATGAAGCGCGAAAGCGCTTCATTCTAGAAATGTGCGCACGATCAACACCTTTACAACCCTATAAAATTCCTAAAAGAAGCATTCAATTCTTATAATTACATTTTTATGCTAGGGTCATGAAAAATCGATTTCTATCATCTATTTCTTAAATTAACTTGTGCACTTTATTGTGATGGCACGTGTTATCATGAATGTTACACTTCATTGGGATATGAAGGTTAATTTTAGCATGACGTGCAAGCGTTGTTATCCAATCATAATAACGGATTCTTCTGAAACATACATGTAATGTAATTATTACATTTAATCTACACGAAATAATTAATTTTATCTAGCATTAAGCTATGAAACTAAATATACAATGAAATATAAATGCATAAATTAAATTACAAATGAAATAAGAAGAGATATATTAATATAACAGTCATAAATTAAAGGAGGTATATGTGAATTATAAATGCAAATTTTGTCAAATTTCATTTTAAGGATGTACTTAGGTGAGGGGTTAGGAATTATGTTAGATGTTGGAACTCCTTGGTTTTTTTCCTACGATACAGGGTAAAATAATTTGACCCATAACACCCATTTTTCTTTTCATATAAGACTTCAATAGCTCATTAAAGGTCCTTCACCAAAATATATTTTAGCAGATTCTAGATTTTTTCCTTTCGATTTGAGACCCAAATAACCAAATATAAGGTAAAGTCCGAGTCAGCCTTTTCCCGCCATTTTTTAAATTTTAATATCTCGAAAAGGAGCTCCATAACGTATCAATATTTTTAGCCTATTTTGTTCCTTAACTAATGCTCTTTTGACTTATAGTATCAATTTTAAATTCTAGATTTTTTTAATTTCACCTAAGTACATCCTTAAGATGAATTTGATGTAAGGAATGTTATATCGGTTCCTTTTTGGTTCTTTTACACACTGTTTTTTTTCAAAGTATATATATCTTGAATAACAAAACAATCAAAATATTTCTAAGATATATTGTCCTCTTCAATATTATTGCACTTAAACTAGATTCGTTGTCATATAATTATAATAGTTTAATGAACGCAAAATAAACGACAATTAAAATTTAATATTAATGTTTCAACTGTATGAAAAAAAAATGAAATAGTTCCTCTTGGTGGACATTAGTCTAACACCATTTCAGTAAAGAATTAATCCAGGCCTTGTCAGTCAGGAATATAACTCATAATTCAAGCTAGCCATCTTCTTAAGATCTTTTATAAGGAATTTTAAAAATAATCTGCAGATATGAAACAGTTTTTACTTTAGATTACTTTTTTTTTATGAAGATACAAATGCATCCACGACAACCCACAGGGCTAGTACTGGAGACGTTCCACCACATTTTCTATGAAGATACAAATGCATCAACGACAGCCCATAGGGCTAGTACTGGAGACGTGCCGCCTGATGTTATTACATTCATATCATCATACAAGAAGTTAGCTGCAGTCACATCGTTGGAATAGAGCTTCACTCCACGATATTCAGGCTGCAAAAGATAATTTGATAATCATGATTAAACATTTCAAATTGTGCACAAAATATCAATCATAAATTAAATTAAATATTTTCAGATTTGGCAATAATTAGTATGAATGGATTTTGGCTTGGTTTGTGGTGATAAATCTTTATTCCTCTTGTCTTGGAATGTTTTGTTATTGCCGTTTTTGTCTTTTCATCATTTTGATAATTGGCCATGGAATTGTCTGTCTTTATTGGAATATGATTTTCGATTGCACCCTAGGTTTTCCGTTTTTAATTAGTATCAGACTTTAACATACATATATTAGTACACGATAATAAAGTCATATAGATTCCTTTAAGAAAAAAAGTATAGTTTAATATAAAATATATAATTATACACATGTAATTTGTTTGGTTCGGTGGCAGAGTGGTCTAAGTAGTTCAACTACTGTAATCACTAGCCAGTCAACACTTGAGGTTGTGAGTTCGAACCCTGCTCGTGCGTGTGCACTCGACTCCAATCTTAATTGATTAGGATTGTCAGTTTTCCTACCGAAGGTCGGTGGTTTTCTCCGGGGACTCCGGCTTTCTCCACCAAAAAAAACTTACCGTCATGAAAAAGCACAAAAGTGTTGAAAGTGGCGTTAAACACCAATCAATCAATCAATTTGTTTGTAACTGGATATGAACATTTATAAAGGTTATGATGAAAATGGATGAACTTGTTTGCAACTTTTAAGTATATTTTACCTTCGTTGTGGCACACGGATATTTATAAAGTCTGACACGGCCTCTGCTATCACCAGTCAACAAGAAATCGCGGTAGTTAGAGCGATGTACAGCATTTATATGTGTCCCGTTCTCCATATTTGTCCAAGGACCTATATGAAATAAAACCATTTCTATCGAATAAAAGGAGATGTGGGTATATATCAATGAGACCAACATAAATAACAAAAACACATCTAGAGGCTAACGTTTATCGTCAACAATAAATACATGTACCTTCAATATTTACTTGCAATATGTCAGAATCTAAATCAAAATATGTGTAAAAAATTTATAAATAAAAACAGAGATATATCAAAGATATGCCAAATTCTTCTAATGACAACAAACAACCAAAAACAACATTAAGATACGACTACAACAAAAACTGATGAGGTTCCGGACGTATAAAAGTGTGTATGTTTCAGGGTCAAATGGTCTGTTCCATGTAAGAGGGTGGGAATGGGGGTTTACAGAATAGAAAAAAATGTACTAAAAAATAAAGAATATAGAGAATAAAGAGGTGCTCAAATATAAAGAATAATGGCAAAAAAATATAAAAAATAGAGAAACATTACAAAAAAAATCAAGAATACATTAATGAAGGACCCCCCATCCAGACCCTCATGTAAAAAGTTTAATTTCAAATATACCTCCAACGGAAATTCAAAACGGAAAGTCCTTTATAAAAGGCAAAAATTAAAAACTCAAACACATCAAACGAATGGAAATCAACTGTCATATTACTGACTTTGTACAGAGAGTAAGGGAGTAAGGGGTCTGTAAATCGGTGGTTGTCGTTCGTTGGTGTGTATATCCTATTTGTTTTTTGTTTGTTGTTTTGTACATACACCAAGCCGTTGATTTTCTTGTTTGCATTGTGACCAAAAGTTGTTAACATCGACGTCGTTTGGTCACTGGTGGATAGTTGTCTCATTGGCAATCATACCTTCTTATTTTATATTATTGCTGTCGTCCTATTTTATACCTACGGGCCCTATGCTTTTGTTAAGGCCATCTATAATTTACTTAAAGGTTATTTGTTTTTGTCCAGTCTGCACAAAAGACACATGGCATCAGCTTAACATATAACTTAAAGCTATCAGATAAACTTACCTATAACAGGGTATCCTGTTGTACAACTGTAGATATGCCAGTCTGCATCACGTAAAACACGAGGATCACTTATTCTTAACTTCTTCTCTACATCCCCTGTATCATAAAAAGTTAAAAATTTTCATAGAAAGAATATATGTAAAGTTGACCATCAATTGTTGTATCAAAGACGTTATGACAGATCTGTTCCGATCAGAATACAGATTAATTTAGATTAATAAAAAATAGAAACTTCTTTTATCTACCAACTCGAAATACATTATCTTTATGTCTTGACTTATAGTATAGTTAGTGACTTTCATAAGTTTGAAATACTTTAAATTACTCACACAACAAATTTTTTTTTATCTAAGATAATGACAAATACAGGTCTCACTGACAATTAATAACTACCCATTTTAATTGCCAGTGCTGAAAATTTAAATACTTACTTTGCTTTTAAATCGATAGTAATGTGTTATATACATTATCTCTTCTATAGATGTATGAAATAATTATGAAAATGAGTAGATAATCACTTACAGTTAATCATATTGTATTGTCCATCTGTACTTTGAATGTACTTGCTATCTCCTGACCAGTCGATATGTGTAACAAAGGTTGGGTGGCCCTAGTGAAAGAAAATAGCGACATAATTAGACATGATATTGGGACAATCATTTTTTTTTCTGGGGAGGAGGATTTTGAAGATGAATATCCTGGCCTGGTAAGAGCTGAAAACAAATCATCTTGCAGCAAAGCCGCAAAAAAATAAAAAGCACAGGCAACAGAAGAAAATGAATATTCAATCCGAAAAAAAACCTACTCCCCCTCCATCCCTGGCCAGAATATCAAATGGTTGTCCCCTAAAGTAAAGTTGAATAAATAAGGCATACACTGTGCTGATTCAGGTAAAATTAAACTTTTGTCTTGTTTGGATAAAGATCAACAAATATGTCCCCAATATCCTTTGGTTTTTCTATCGTTTATCAATTTTTATCTGTTTTGTTCTACTAAAGCAATGTCCCTTAATATCAAGAAAGGAAACAACCAATGTTATGCAGGCATCTACTCGTTTCATCGTGTTATCGGTCTTCTCTGTGTCCATAATCTAGTTGAGTAGAATAACAAGAGGCTGTCAGAGCAACAGCAAACCGTATTTTTCAACATTTATTTGTGTCCTGGCATTTTTCAATATCTCAAGGACCATAACTCCTAAACGGTAAAAGTGACAATCATCAATATTGAACTTGACATCCAATTTGTCATCAGTAACAACATATTTAAAATTTGAAAAGCTTTGGTTGAATGGTTATTGGATTTAAGCACGGACACGACTGGAAAGACCATTTTCAATCTTTCAAGAACCATAACTCCTGAACGGCGAAAGTGAAAATCGTCAAAATTGAACTTGACCTTCATTTTGTCATCAGTAACAACACATTACAATTTGAAAAGCTTTGGTTGAACGGTTCATGAGTAAATGCACGGACACTGTTTGGCAGCCACCCGCCGTACACTTACAACTTACAACTCCTGTTAGCGCCATGTGTCGCATAGGGCGTGAATGGAAGCCTTCCATCTGAGTCTGTCTGCTGCTTGTTGTTGTGCTTCTCCCTATGTCCTCCATCCAAATTCTGTTTTTTTCTTTGTCTTCCTACATTTCTCTTTCCTGGTGGTGTCCATGTCAAGGCGATTCGACAATCATTCCATGGGTCAATCTTCAGGATGTGACCTATCCAACTCCATCTCCTGGTCTTAATGGTGTTGGTGATGGTGCACATGTTGGCTCTTTGAAGCAGTTCTGTGTTGGACATCATAGTTGGCCAAAATATCTTGAAAAAAATTGAAAACAACACGTTTAATAATTTCATGCGTCCGAAGCGCTTTTCTGGATTTACCTTCATCAGGAACGCTCAAAGCCAAACATTCTACGCAAGTTCCTGGTGTTAAAGGTGTTAAGTTTGTCTCCATCTCTCTTGCTTATCTTCCAACATTCTGCCCTCTGTTTTGGCTTCCAATTGTGTTCTTGTTGCTGACAGGAGAGCAATATCATCTGCAAAATTAAGATATTCTAAAACCCCTAATCTTCCCCAGTTGATACCACGCCTTTTCCGTGTTGTTTGCTTCATTGTCCAGTCTATAACCAGTAAGAAAAGGAATTCAGACATTATACATCCTTGCCTGTATCCAGATTTAATGTGGAACCATTCAGAATGTTTACCCTCATGTTCAACTACACAACTGAAGTGATCATAAAATGCTTGCACCATCCTGATTATTTTACCTAGAATTCCATAGTTTGCCATGATCTTTTTTAAAGTTTCTCGATGAATAGTGTCAAACGCTCTTTTGAAGTCGATGAAGTTGATAAATAGGGGGCTGTTCCATTCAATGCATTGTTCTACTATATTTCTCAGGATGAATATTTGGTTGATACAGCCTAGACCTCTTCGGAAACCAGCTTGTTCTTTACGTAGAATGTTGTCAATACCATCTATAATTCTGTTGATGATAATTCTGCAGAGGACTTTCCCAGGTACAGATAATAATGTTATTCCTCTCCAGTTGTCACAGACTTCTAAATTTCCTTTTTTTGAGAGTTTGATTATTCCCTTCTGCCAGCTAGTCTGTTGGTATTCCTTCCCTGTTCCAAATCTTTGTAAATAGATGGCAAAAGACTTTTGCTATTGTGCCTACATCAGCTTTCAATAGTTCAGTTGTATGTTGTCAATACCTGGAGCCTTACCATTACTTAGTTCCCTTATACTCTTTGTTATCTCTTCAATGGTTGGTGGTTCAATGTTCATATCAACAACATCTCCAGGTTGAATATCTGCTAGTACGGGTCTTTCGAGTTTAAAATCTCTTCAAAGTGTTCTTTCCATTTCTGTAATTGTTCCTTCTCGTTGGTTATTACATGTCCCTCTTTTGACTTTACAGGTCTGTTTCCTCTCATGCCACTGTTGGAATTTTTCTTGCTCAGCATATATAGCTTGTTCTACTCTCCCTTGTTTGCTGCATTTTTTGCACTTTTTGCTATATTATCAATATATTTCCTTTTATCATCTCTTGTACTAATTTTACCTCCTTGTTCTTTGCTTTATAATCTTTCTCCAGCTTTTCTTTCTGTTTTTGTGATCTTGAAGCATTGATTTTTTATTTTTTCTGTTTTCGTTCTTGTATTTTGTCGATACAGTTGGCAGTGATCCATTCTGGTTGTTTCCTGTCTTTAAAACCCAGTGTTTGCTCACCAACCTCACACATTGCTTGTTTGATATCTATCCACTGTTCTTCTATGCCTTTTGTTTCTCCCAATTCCTGAAATCTGTTCCTTAACTCAAGTTTGAACTCGTTTGCAACTTTTTGGTATCTTCAGCTTATTTGTGTCATATTTTTTCTTCTGTTCCTGATTTACTCTCTGTCGACAAAGTTTTAGCTTAACTCTGGAAATAAGTAATTCATGATCACTACCAACATCAGCACCTCTATATGACCTTACATCTTCCATAGATCTTCTAAACCTTTTGTCAATCGTGATGTGGTCAATCTGATTCTTGATGTTTCCGTCTGGTGAATTCCATGTGTATTTATGAATATCTTTATGTTTGAATGTGCTGGAGCCAATTACAATGTTGTTAGTCTGACAATAATCCCGAAATAATTCTCCATTCTCATTGATAACACCATACCCGTTCTTCCCCACCACATCTTCATATCAAACAGTATCTGATCCTATCTTTGCATTCATGGTAGTACTCCTCTTTTACTTCCTCGGAAGCTTCGTTCGTTGGATATAAGTAATACTACTCCATACTAATGCCTTTCTGTTTGCCCAGAGTATAGCATAGTCTCACCGCCTCTGAGGTTGATCTTCCCTGTTCCAGTCCAACGACATTCGCTAATACCCAATACATCAATTCCATAGTTGTTCATTTCATTTACTACCTGATGCGTCTTTCCAGTTGCATACATTTTTCTTACATTCCAGCATCCGACCTTGATCTGTTTTCTTGGGTGAATCAAAGGTACTCTCCTGATGTTTGCTTCCAATTGGTTCTGGGTTTGGCCAACATCATTCATTGAAACCTTCTAACTGATTTCTGTTTTCCAGTCTAACCTCGGTATTTCCCATCAGAAAAGTCGTTCTTCCATTTCGCGTTTCTGTAACTTTATAGTTTTTACGAGGATAGGTTGTTGACCTATCGCTCAATCCCCAACCTGGAGAACCAGAGAATCTTTACTCAAGGTTTCTTTTCTTTAGATCAATTGCCGACCAAGGCTGACGAGTCAAATCTACCCGGAATTTTATATCCGAGTTTTCTTCTTCTAGATGAATTGCCTTCCAAGGCTGACAACCTTCATCCAGTCGGCTATTAACCTATAACTAGGTCCCGCCCGCCGTACATCCCTAAATCAATAACTGATTTTTCCTTCGGAAATCCGGTTAAAAATTGAACCAGTACAAAAAACACTTTTTTTAAAAGTACATAGCTTCTTGTGCTTTCATGACATATCCGAATTTCATTCTTTTAAATCATAACTACCGTTTTAATCTTATTTAGACATAGGGTTGTAACCAAAATATTCAAACATACATTTTGATTCAAGCGTCAATGATGAGTCTTTAGTAGAAGAAACATGCGTCTGGCGTACAAAATTTGAATACTGCAGTGGTATATATGATAAGTTTATTTGATACAATTTTAAACCTACTTTCAAAGGCCTTGAAGGAGTATAACCTTGACCTCCATCTTGTGCATCTAGAATGTGTAATAGTCCATCGTGGCTACCAACTGCTATCATTGTACTATCTATAACACAAAGAAATAATAAAAAAAACTTTTTTAAGTGCACATGTACAATACTCATGTCATGAAACCGGTGAAAAATTCATAAGCATTTCTGATTAAGAATAATTTTAATTTCAAGCGCATTTAATAAAACAAAGCAAAAACTTTCAAAGATCTAATCGATCTTCATTTGATGTGAGTAAAAGGCAATACTTGTCATTATCGCTATTTTACGAAATTTTTCTTTGATCTTACTGACTGATAATTTCCTATCTCAGCAAAGAAGAGTGTTATGAAAAAATATCGCTAGAAACTAAGGGCGCACGTGCCGCTGTCAATGAAATTAACAACGTCGTCATAGATAAAATAGCGATAAACAGATTATCATTGGTTATCTCAACTCGATTGCTTTTCTCACTTTCGCCGTACCGGCTTAAGCGAGAAAACCAATCTCGTTGGGATGGCCAACGATAATCTATAAATACATATGTTTTGAACAGTGTAATTTATTTTTGTGAATGTATGAAACAGGTCCATTAATGATTTTCGATATATTGCAAATTGAGAATTGCCATTTTCAACCCAAATGAACATTTTTAAAGCTTAATGTCTATATAAATATAAATCGATGTGGTTTGATTATAAATAAGACAATTGTCTACCAGATACCAAAATGACGTAAAACATTACATTCAAAACTACCTGGTGAGAAGGCAATACAATCAATGCGGTATTTGCTAACATCTATTGAAGCAACATGCATTCCATTATGGGCGTTCAGGATTTCAATATTTCCAGTCTGTGTGCCTACCGCAATCTGTCGACCTTTGAGATCCGCTGACAAACAACAACCAGGTTTCTGTCAAATTAATATTAAAGCATCAATGTATTGTAATTTTTTAAATTCTTTAAAGGACATTTTCATATAAATTATTTTTCAAGATATCTTCAACAAGGAAAAATGTCAAAAGGGTTAAAGCGAATAATATTTCTGCTAAGGGTTTCCATATCGGTTTAATAGATGTGAGATTGAGAAAACATCACATTTCTTTTTCACGAGTTATCTATATAGAATCTATTTTGAATAACTACATTTTAAACTGTACTTTTGATATATGCATGGTGCTTACATTTCTACTTTGTATATCATATATTAACATAATAAAGTATTATCCAACCTACCCCAATTTGTGATTTCCATATAATTTTGTGTCTTGTCGTTGACCATTTTATTACCATTTTGTCAAATGATGTTGTGAAGAATGCCGATTCGTTTGGATGAGGAGCTATAGCCCATATTTCTTCGCTATGTCCCTGTAAAACACAAGTATATAGTAATTTTACCAATTTAGATACGTTGACCGTATCTTATTGAAATGATCTGTGAGGCGATGGTGTGTTTTTACAAGGGTGTTTTGTGTATAGTATTGTAAATGTCTTTGTTTATAAAGACGCAAACCATGCTGGATTTCTGATACTTTAATCAAGGTAGATAACTGTGTTAAACATTGTACATAGTAACATACGGAATGAAATGACGGACATATATTCCGGATCAATATTAAAGTTAGGATATTACATCCCTCCTCAACTTAGATAAAGAAATAATTATCATTTAAACTTATTGAAACATTAAACATTAAAATATTTTTGTTGTTATGAAATTATCTATCAAAAGAATGAAATGAAGTCTATGATTGTCATAAAAATGGATTTCAAATTTTCTATCATATAAAGTTTAAAATGTTCTGACTAGAGTCTCTTGACTAGAATCCACAGAATGATTGCTAACAAACTAATGTCTAGTTCACTACTAAACTATTCTAAATGATACTAAATATAATCAACAAAACATATTTCATGAAACTTAGAGCCTTTTTACTCTTTCACCAATCTAGGGGATTATTATGCCCCATTCACATGATTCACTGAATTCACTGATATAATTATAGGGGATTATTATGCCCCATGCACACGTAATAAATTTCAATGGTTTGATCAAAATTAACGCACATAGTCTTCCAGATATTTAGGAACATGTTTTTGTCGTACTGGCCTTTCGCTTTGTTGCGGAGTAGTTGACTGTTGTTTGGTTCCTGAAGAGGGTGGTTGATCTTGATTATTTGATGGTATTGTGTCGCATATATTTTCAAATTGTTCTTCAATTTCATCAGTTGTTTTGCGGATCGGTGGACGGTTCACTTTCTTAAATTTTGATGAGTTTCGAGTAACTAATTTCTCGCCATTTGTAACGGTGATCATGCTTCCTTTCTTGTTGATGACATTATACGGATTTGGTTCATAGGCTGTTGTGAGTTTGTTTTCTTTTCGTTCGGTCTGTCTTAACACGGAATTTCCTATTTCAATATTACTCGGCTTTGCATGATTTCTATCATCAAATTGTTTTTTCATTTTGCATTTTTCACTTTCATCATTTTGTCGTGCATTTTCATCCATTTGTTTGTTGGTAATGTTAGGTTTGTGCACTTGTGGAAGTTTTGTTACTGGTTCCCTGTTAAATAATAACTGAAACGGCGGGTAACCTGTGCTTGTGTGTGGAGTTGCTCTAAATTGTCGGAGAAATTTAAACAGTTCTTGTTTCCAGCTTTTCCTTTCCACATGAGCTGCTTTAATTGTCTTCATCATTGGTTTATTAAATGATTCGGCCTGGGCGTTGGCACGCGGCCATAATGGTGTTATACGGCGGTGTTCAAATCCAGTATTTTCAGCATACTGTCTGAATGCATGAGAGTTAAACGGAGGACCATTATCTGTTTTGATTACTTTAGGAATTCCGAAAGTAGATATAACTTTGTCCAAAACAGGAATAACAGTTGAAGCAGAGTTGGATTTAATTACTTCAACTACTGGATAACGTGAATATTCATCTGTAATAACGAATAAGAGGTCTCCGCTAGGTAATGGACCACAAAAATCAGCACTCAAATTTGCCCACGGCTTTTCTGGCAATTCAGACATTCTTAATGGTTCAATTCTTTTGGTGTGTGTAACAGATTGACATGCTGAACAGTCTTTAATTGCATTATCAACTCTGTCATTAAGTCCTGGAAACCATATCTTGGAACGTAAGAATGCTTTAGTTTTGGTGATACCCTGATGACCTTCATGCGCAATGTTAACAGCTCGCACACGGAGTTCAGATGGGAGTACAATACGATTGTCTCTCAGTAAAATAGTGTCACCATAGGTTACAAGTTCACCGCTGATGCTCCTTAATGCTTGTAATTCCTCAATGTCAATTTCCAGATCTGTTATGTTTTTGATTTTAAACCATTGTCCAGTTCTTACAAATTCTATTGCCTTTTGAATAGTTTTGTCCTTTGAAGAAGCCATTTTAACTTCATCAAGTGTCATTGCACGAGGTACTGCTTCAGACATAACAAATCTCACATACTGTTCTGCTATAGATTGTTCTCGGGATTTGACAGGGTTGTCTGATGGGTGTCTTGACATAAAATCTGCAGGATTTTCACTTCCTGGTCGATATGTTATCTTAAGTTTGTATGGTTGTAATCTCAAACCCCAACGTTCAATTCTCAGTGGTGGCTTTGGTTTCTGCCAAATACGCTCTAGTGGCTTGTGATCTGTTATAATGTTCACGTTTGGTGCACCTCTTATGTACATATCAAAGTGTTCACATGCCCAAACAATAGCAAGAGCTTCTCGTTCAGTTTGGCTATACCTTGTTTCAGTGTCAGTAAGACTTCTGCTGGCATAAGCTACAGTTTTTCCTTCTTGAGACATTATTGCCCCGAGTCCAACAGGACTGGCATCAACCAAAATATCAATCTCATGTTTCGGATTAAAATATGTCATGACGGTGTCGCTAGATAGTTCGTATTTCAATTTTTCGAAAGCTGCTTCTTGTTCAGAACCCCAGGTCCAATTTGTATCTTGGCGTGTTAGTCTTCTTAACGGCTCACATAATGTTGCATAATTCTGTATGAATCTAGATGAGTATGTAGTCATACCTAGAAAGCTACGCAGTTCTGGTACATTTTTCGGTGGAGACATGTCTTTGATGGCGCTAACCTTCTTTGGATCTGGCGAAATGCCTTCTTTCGAAAATGTAACCCCGAAAAACACTACTTGATCTTTATTAAGCTCACATTTTTCAAGATTTAAAGTTAGTCCGTTTTCAAGTAACCTCTTGAATGTGGCATCTAACGCTTTATCATGTTCTGCCTGTGATTTGCCATATATGATTATGTCGTCTGAAATGTTTTTAACTCCAGGTATACCACTTACAACGTTGCGTATTACTTCTTGGAAAATTTCTGAAGCTGATGATATTCCAAAATTGAGGCGTTTGTAACAAAATAGACCTGCATGTGTACTAAATGTTGTTATATATCGAGACGAAGGATGGAGTTCCAGCTGGTGGTATCCTGACCTTAGGTCCAGCTTTGTAAACAGTATTGCTCCAGTTAAGTCGTGTATCAGTTCATCTATAGTCGGTAAAAGATGTCGTTCACGAGATATAGCTTTGTTCGGCTGACGCATATCAACACATAGTCTAATCTCTTCTGGGTTTTTCTTTGGTGGAGTCACTATAGGAGACACCCAGGGTGTTGGTGTACCCTCTATTTTTTCAATAATATCTTGCTCTTGCAGTTTTATAAGTTCTTTCTCAACTTTATCACGAAGGTGAAATGGTGTCCTTCTGTGTCTCTGTGCTACTGGTTTCACATTTTCATCTATGTGCAGTTTAATTGGTTTTCCCTTGTATTTACCAATGCCTTCAAACAATTTAGGATATTTTGCTTTTGGATCAGTTATCTGGTTAATAATCTTTACAAGCCCTAGCTTGCTTGCAAGTGGGTATCCGAGCAAAGCTCCATGATTTCCTTGAACTACATAGAAAGTGTCACAGTCAATAGTACTTTTTGTTTCGACACTAAGCTGACATTGACCCATGACCTTTAAAGGATCACTTCCGCCATACGGTAATAAATTCGGATTATTGCCCTTTTTCATCTTAGGTGCTCCTATCTTGTGATAAGTTTTCTGGTCAAGAAGGTTAACTGTTGCACCAGTGTCTAGAAGAAAGTTGCAATGTTTGTCGTTTATGCGAATGTTTACTCTTGGTGTTTTCGAACCAACTACACTTACATGTTCTCGTGACGGTGTAATCATGCTGATATGATATGCATATTCTTCATCACTACTTGATTCATAATTATTGTTGTCTGTGTTATGTTGGACCTCTCTAACTTTTTCTTGTCTAGTAGGATTGTGCCTCTGTCTACATACTTTGCTGAAATGATTTAGTTTACTGCAATAGTTGCATTTTTTCCCTTTAGCTGGGCATTCATTTGTATGCGGGTACTGTCCACCACAGTTACGGCATGTATGTTTGTGTTGTTTAGAATTATCATTACGGTATTGTGGCTTTGTGTTATTTCTTTGGTTGTTTTGCTTTTGTGGTTGTCTTTGGGCGGTACGTTGTGTAGATTGTACTTTATTTATGGTTTCGCGTTCCATAGTTAGAGCTTGTGAATCTGCCATCTCAAGCGCCCTTCCAGTTGCCAATATGTCATCAAGTGTCTTGTCAGGTTCCCTCAGAGCTCTTCGTCTGAGCCTGTTTGATTTGCAGTTTTGAATGACTTGTGTGAGAATTTCACTGTCTATGTTGCCAAATTTGCAATTTTTTGATAACTTCCGTAATTCAGTAACAAACTCATCTAATGATTGACCATCTAATTGTTTATAGCTACGGAATTTGTATATTTCCATTTGTATGTTCTTCTTGGGGTCAAAATAGTCTTTCAGGACTTTCTTTGTTGCATCATACGAGGCTAATGTTTGCTTTTTTTCGGCATCGTATATATCATAGACCCTTTCCCCAGCATAATGTAATAATAAGGCACGTTTTCTGTCTTCATCGTCGATGTCTAGACCAATGAAAAGGTTTTCTAGGCGTTCAACCCATTTTTCCCAACGAGGACCTGCGCTTGATTTGTCCGTTTCAATATCAAAGGAAGGAAATGCGGGTAAATTAAAAGCTGCCATTTTCTCGTCGCCAATGAAATGATCTGTGAGGCGATGGTGTGTTTTTACAAGGGTGTTTTGTGTATAGTATTGTAAATGTCTTTGTTTATAAAGACGCAAACCATGCTGGATTTCTGATACTTTAATCAAGGTAGATAACTGTGTTAAACATTGTACATAGTAACATACGGAATGAAATGACGGACATATATTCCGGATCAATATTAAAGTTAGGATATTACACTTATTACGCAGGAGAGGATTAGCATTTCTGGTATCGCTCATTCACGAGTGTAGGCGATCCCCTCAGTTATTTTGATTTGATTGAATTATTCAAAATGTATTAACTGGATTAGAAAATCGATAAACCACTGTTTATGCACATACACTCAAATTGATCATTCCATATATTTCACACTTACCTGAATAAGAAATCTAAATTTATCTTGTAGTGATCCATCAAGAACGTATCCTTTGGACGTTCCAATGTACAACCGTCCATCAGCACTGGCGCTATTTTGTGGTATGATACAGTTATTTTGATTTGATTGAATTATTCAAAATGTATTATAACTGGATTAGAAAATCGATAAACCACTGTTTATGCACATACACTCAAATTGATCATTCCATATATTTCACACTTACCTGAATAAGAAATCTAAATTTATCTTGTAGTGATCCATCAAGAACGTATCCTTTGGACGTTCCAATGTACAACCGTCCATCAGCACTGGCGCTATTTTGTGGTATGATAGTTCTGACATGACCCGTGGCTTCTGGTAGCTACGTTGAAAAAAGGTATATAGCAAGTTAGAAAATAATGGGTCGAGATTCACTTTTATGATACTGTCAATTAAAATCTGGTGCAGTAAAATTGGTACTGTTAATACCATTAAAGAAGCACATCGTTAAAAGAAAAAAATCAATCAGCAGTTAGCTCGAATGCAATATCGATTCAGATTCCATGCAAATGCGTCATATAATATATATGATGTTGATATGGTTTAATGTAATGGTAGGGTACCGATTTTAAGTTGCAAGTCAATGTTTTAAACAATGAAAACATTTTGAAATCCACACGGAGTATGACTAGAAGCTTCAACAACTTGAGTATCTTCTGCTTTGCCGTCATCCTCTGTGACATTATTCCTAAGTCAAACTTTTTATTTGCAGAAGAACATAGGTTCGATCATCGACTAGATCAAAACAACAACTTTAAAACTATTAAAAGCTGTTCTCAAAATCATATGAGATTTAGAAGTTTGAACAAAGACTAGTATTCGGGTACACGAGCATGTCTACTATACGATCTGGTATCTTGTGAGCGAGTACAGTAATATCTTATCGGCTCAGTGTGTCGGTTAAATACAAAGTAACGTTTATATTCACCTCTTGTTAGAAACGTTCGCATTACACATCAGATCTATCTAACATACTTATAATGCATTTGTAGTTATTTGAGATTGTATTTGGTAAACGGGAAATAATCCAATTTGTATCATGTTCTATCGTCCTTTCAAGTGCATTAATTGTTTGCCTAATAGGAAAATAGGAAAATAATGAATTATGTTGAAAGCCTGGACGTCTCTTTTAACAGGTTGTAGACCGTGATATATGTGGTGTAATTGCACCTGTTCATAAAACGGCATCAATCAATCATACAATACAATACAATATGTTAGAGTCTCACCTTTTACAGACAAATACATAACACATTGATTAAAACAAATCACAAAAATGTAAAAGCCATTCATATAGAACTACGAGAGACGATTATTTACACATTAAAAGCAAATTACTAAAACATTCAAAATCATAAAAGAAAAAGATAAAGATATAGAAAAAAGAAAAAAAAAAAGAAAAAAAAGGAAAATCTAAGATCTTGCTCAGAATACCAACTTCGTTACGATTATGGTCTATTTGATTATCAAAATGAACAGTATATTATCCTTACCACTCTAGCATTAGCAGGTCTGTACCCATTTATACTGTCCCAGGCACGGATTTCTAATCCACCACCGGTCATCAAAGTATTGTCCATTAGCATATATAATGAAGTAACAGGATGCTACAACAAATATGAACTATTTTTGATACACTTATTTTAGTGGAAGTATATCTATCTTTTTGTGATTTCAGTTTTAAAGTGTTCATATCTTCATTCTACAGATGGAATTGCTACATAGATATGGCTTTTCCAACCAAGACTATACATTTGGAGGTATTTCTACTAAGTGGTGAGCAACAGTCCTTTTATCATGTTTATTTAATCATTCATAAATGTATTTACGTCTGAAATTAAATTTTCTACCAGTCAATTTAAGGACCAAAATGTAAATTTTCAAAGATTATTTAGTGTAATTTTGTGTATAAAATTGTATGTGCAAGATATGTTTAAAGTATTAAAAGTATAGAAATAAGCGTACAATACAATTAAAAATACTGGATTGCTTTAATGTACATAGAATTACATTTCGCTTTCAGCATATAAAAAATAGCACTATGTAATGGTAACAATTACCTTGTGCGCATTCCTCATCGTTTCAGATAAATCCAAATTGATACTGAAGATGTATTCAACATCAGGACTCCAAACTGTTATGGTACCATTGGAATCACCAGTTAAAACATCCCCTTTGGCAGAGAATGCAAGTGAACATATTTCATTTGGTATGTCACCCTGTAAGAAAATGATAAAACTATCAGGTAAGGACAATTCACCAATTAACAATGCATGTATGTTCAGTTGATCGCTGCAACAGACTTCAGATTACAAAACAAATCCTAGTAATTTCCGTTGGGTCGTCCACTTTGTCCTGATTGTTTTATCTATATACATCCCTACTTTTATTATTGGTATTGTATGAGTGCTGTGAATAAACTCATCATAGATACAAGGCTTAAAATTGTGTACGCCAGACGGGCGTTTCGTCTACAAAAGACTCATTCACGACGCTCAATGAATTTTTCTATATACTTTGATATTTACAATACAGGTATCTGAAAAGAAAAGTCGTATCCCTTAGTTAAACAAATTTGATTGTTTAAACAAAATAGGTATTTTTCACACAATGGCTAAAGGTGTACATACTAGAAAGAGTCCACTCCTTTTATCCCTCATTATCCTGCCTTCTTTATCCCTCACTGGATCCCAGAACAGTTTCCAAAAATAAACATGTTGTTGTCCATATGTGATCAGTATAGTGTCGTTGTATTTGTAAAAACATGCTGCTTTTACTGCAAGATTTGACGTCTGAAGCAAGAATTGTTGTCATTATATATCCATACTTCAATGAAACAATTTTTGTAAGAAGAGTATACAAATAAGACGATTCAATATAATTACTAATGACACAACTATTCATTAACACTAAAGGAAAAAAGTATGAAGCCACTAAAGTTAGAATGGCCGACAATGCCGTACATAATTTGTTTTCACAAATATTAGTCTGATACAAACCTGATATTGGTTTTTCAAGAGTTATATGATTTTCATATCAGCATAAAATTGACAATGGAAATGGGGAATATGTCAAAGTGACAACAACCCGACCAAAAAGCAGACAACAGCCGAAGGCCACCAATGGGTCTTCAACGCAGTGAGAAAATCCCGCACCCGGAGGTGGTCTTCAGCTGGCTCCTAAATAAAATTGTGTACTAGTTCAGTGAAAATTGACTCCAAAACATGAACTAAAATTAAAAAACATACAAGACTAACAAAGGCCAGAGGCTCCTGACTTGGGACAGGCGCAAAAATGCGGCGGGGTTAAACATGTTTTGTGAGATCTGAACCCTTCCCCTTTACCTCTAGCCAATGTAGAATAAAGAAACACATAGCAATACGCAAAGTAAAATTCAGTTTAAAAGAAGTCCGAATACGATGTCAGAATAGGTAACAAAAGAAACTAAGAAAAATGACAATGATACATAAATCAACAAAGGACTACTAGCAGTTACTGACATGCCAGCTCCAGACCTCAATTAAACTGATTAAAAGATTATGTCTTCCTCATATGAAAATCAAGTATAATCCCTCCCGTTAGGGGTTTAGTATCATACCACCATATAATATATGAGAAGAACATAACCCGTATCATGCCAACAACTGGTTTTAGAATAAATATGTTTATTTCCGATGCAAAGACCCTAAGAGTGAATCAATATTAATACCAAAATATGCAATCCTTAATGACCGGACAACAGTATCGTAACTATATCCCTTCCGAATAAGTATGTTTAAAGGTTTGGTTAGCTTTTGAGGTGAATGCCTACATTTTTGTGCTTTGTAATGAATATTACCATAAAATATTGAATGTGAAATACCTGAACGTACAAGATGTCTGCATGTTGATTTATATTTACGAATGATGTCCTTGTATCGATGATAAAATTTAGTAAATGTTTTGACTAGTTTGGGATATCGAAAACCCTGGTGTAATAATTTTTCAGTAATACAGAGGTTGAAATCAAATACGTTGTTACATACACGAGCGAATCGAACAGGTTGAGATATATAAACACCATAAGATGATGACAAGGGAACGTCACCATCTAAAAATGGATAATTAACAATAGGAAATGAAAAATCATGTATTAATTACTGATTTCTGATTACAAGAAAGCAATTGAGCAAAGGATTATTGTTGGTAAAATTGAAGTCATGTCTTCGAATATTTGCCGAACTTTAACCCTTATAACCTTTTAAGTCCAACTGACAGAGTACAATCGCATAAATGTCATTTTTAATCTATAACATCATTATATTTCGACATCGTCTCCTGATATAACCGAATTATTTTTGAAGTTAATATTTATTTTGTAAGACGAATATTATCACGATAACAAATGAGTATTCTGGTCAACTATTATTGGCATTGAGAATGTAAATGAAACTTTTTATATTTGGTGCGTCCGAAAAGCTATTATGAGGATGTCATTCAAATATTGAAAGACTTACAATGCTTCAAAGAAAGACTTTGATCTATCAATGAAGGTATTATATTCTCAGTCAAGAAACAAATCATACTAAAAAGTGAATTTTAGTGTAACAAAATGTATAAACACAGGAATTGAATTAACTATGTAAGTGGTATTGGTGAAAATTACTAATATTATATGTTCAACAGTAGACAGTCATTGTTATTTTCAAATAGCGTAGCATGTATTATGTATGATCTTTAATGTGCAAAGTGTTGTAGTTGACTATATTATATGCACACACGTTGTCACACAGGAGTATTTGTGACATGCAGTTGTGAAATGAAACAGTGCAAATTGAGTACAGACCTTTTTCTATTGGAGGTACATTGAAAATAAAGCATTTTCATTACATTCATTCCACTCATATTTTTTATGCTAACTTGCGGAGTACTTGATTGTTTGGCAAATAAATAACCATCTTCATTGAACATGAGCAGACGAATGAGACATTCAAGTTTTAGCAAAGAACTGGCAGATATCAAGAAATGTGATGGTAGTAGAAATTGATCAGTAAGACCTCTATTTTTCTCTTGTCAAATTTGAATGAAATAGAATTGGTTGCTTTGGTGCGTTTTGAAACCTAGTTATCTTTAATGCATTCATTTTCAAAGTACATGTATCTTATGTTGTGGGGGAACAAAACAGATCGTCAATTGTTACAAAATGTTCTTGTTAATTGTTTGAAGATTCAAGTTTTTTTTTTTAAATTTGAATTTGAATACATTTAATTTCCACACTTCTAATATTCCCTATTCCCTATGGTTATGTCTGTCGAACAGCCCATAAACTATTAGATCAGCAATACCGTCAGGATAAAATGACTATATTTTACAATTACCATTAAAACATAAATCTCTTGAATCACTTTTTCATCGATATGAATAAAAACAATCTTCAAATATTTTGATCATCCTATAATATACCTCAAGCAATGTTGATTAAAAATTTATTTTTGTCTTTTTCATGTTTTAAATGTTTTATTATATACCAATATATGATTTCTTATTATAACGAAAACATTTGAATTTGAAATAATTTTAATTATGTGAGCTGAATGCTGGTACATACCGTTGTCTTTGCCACCATTCGTTCTTTCTGCCAGTCCCAAATACTAAGAACATGTTTTTCTGCGTTGTCCATCACACAAAGAAAGCTTCCATTGCTCTGAAACAATTATAAACTATCCGTTTAAAACGTTTATAGCTATTCGACGATAAAATGAACATTTTAGATAAACGCTTATCTAATCAATCAGAAGCCCATTCGTAAGCTTTGTGCTTCTGTGTGTCATAAACATTATGTCTAGACTTCAATGCAGCCGTGTTTTCATAAGTCACATATTGAAATTATAAGAAAACACAGCATGTTACTTTTGCTACAATTGTTAAGTACACTAAATAAACATTTAATTCAGTATAATTCTGGACACATCTAATTTTTAATACATTTCTTTTTTGCAATTTATCTCAGTAAAGCTATGACACTTTAAAAAGTCAACATCCTGAACCAAATGTTAGACTAGTAATTAGTTTATATCTGCCTATATATAGTATCGGGTTGTCATCAGTTCCGTCTTTTTCAAAGCAAGTCAGTTAATATTCTAAGATAGAATATTAAAGCACAATTTGTTTTTATCCTATAACAAAGTTTCAAGTAGATTGCATATTTGTTTTGGTCTAATTATAATGGAAACATTTCTTTTCTCTCGAGGTAGACCCGAAATAAACCGTCACTTGTGCCAAACATTAAATAAAGATACAATGTTTACCTGTTGCGAAAAGTTGATTGATAAGATCCCAGAATCAAAGAATCCGACACCAATGACGTTCAATGTCGTTAAAGTCTTACAATCCCATACCCGGATGTGGGCCTGTATGAAAAAATATACAAATAATCAATAAACTTGTGTAATTGATTGAACACATTGTCTTACTTTTATAAATAATCAAATGAACTCTTCTCTATGTTGTCTTTGTATTTATAATAATTCAATTTTTTGCCAAATTCGGTAAATATTTTCTTCTTCTGTATATTTCTGACTCAAATATCTATCCGCAAGTCAAATTGATTACCCCAGAGATTTTTTAACGCAACGACACCCGTTATACTCTTCGCTTGGCACTGTTAATACATGCAATAGTCTATGAGTACTTTTAACAATCAATATCTATTAGTTCCACCGAGTCTTTTATCATTTTCATATTTAAATTGAATTTATTATCAATCTAATTGGTAACTGCTATTTCTAAGTTATCATGGTAAAGATAATTGTTTTCTTTCTGTAATCTGTAAATACATAAGTAAAAGTTTTTTTAATAGAATCTATTTACCAATGTCCTTATGTAAGATATGTTAATTTTCAGGATTTTCCCATGTGTTTTATAACGATAACTTTGTTTAATTCAAAATGGAGTGTCACATTAATTATAAATATACTACATGTATTGTGCCTAGTAGTCGTTAAGATGTTTAGAGTCGATGGTAATAATAAAAATAAACATTTTCCATTTTATTCTAATTGATATGAATATGAAGTGACGCATGAGGGGACTTGATATAGGCATATAACTCAAAGCTAATCTGTTTTATTGGTTATTTGGCATTAATAAAAAGAAGGAATAACATCGAAAACTCGAGTACTCGATTATAAGATCGAGTATTCGAGTGAAAATTTCGTAGTAGGTCACTTGAATCAATAATTGTTAAAAGTTATAGTACTAAAAAGTACATGTGTAGCTGTGTATGGTATCCGTCTCCCTTTCTATTTTAGTGTGACGGGATTGCATCCCTTGAATAGTACATATTTATTCAGCCGTAAGCGGTTGAGCTAAGGAAGTGCTTCTTTAACTCAATCGGGTAAAGCGCTGCCTTGTAAGACAGAGGTCCTGGGTTCGAATTCCGGAGGAGACAAAGATGATTTTGCAAAAGAATCATGCTCTCCGGTACCATTTGGCGCCAAACTAAAAAAACCCACGGTAGTTAGAGAGGATTTCTAGCTAGGGTATGTGTTGTTTGAGTCATAATGGTATGATAACTCTTGAGGTGGGGGAAGAGTGACGAGCTTTCTTCCCTTGAATAGTAAATACTTAGTCCTTGTATAGTAAATACTTAGTCCTTGTATAGTAAATACTTAGTCAGCCGTAAGCGGTTGAGCTAAGGAAGTACTTCTTTAGCTCGGTCGGTTAAAGCGCTGCCTTGTAACCCAGAGGTTGCGGGTTCGAATCCCGGAGGAGACAAAGATGATTTTGTAAAAGAATCATGCCCTCTGGTTACATTAGAAATAAAATGTGTACCAAGTCAGGAATATGACAGTTGTTGTCCATTCGTTTGATGTGTTTGTGCTTTTGATTTTACCATTTGATTAGGGACTTTCCGTTTTGAATTTTCCTCGGAGTTCAGTATTTTTGTGATTTAACTTTTTCATAAAAAGAGAGAGAAGATATCAAGGGAGCATTTAAAGGTCATTTGTTCAGTGATGTCAAACAACACAATGACCAAAATAAAAACGATGTGGAGATAAACAACAACACTGTGTACTATCATCACCACCGGATACAGGTACCCTTGGTCTGGTTCTCTGTTCATTGTCTAAGAAAAACAGCATTACTGTACAAATACCAGCGTATAGCTATTTGTACATTAATGTTGTTTTTCTTACACAATGAACAGAGAACCAGGCCAAGGGTACTTATATCCGGTGGTGATGATACACAGTGAACAATCACAGCAACACGAAACCCACCAAAAACCAGGTGTAAACATATTAAGCTGACATCTTTTAAATGCTTTAAATTACCTTGTTTTCTTTTCCAGCCATCTGAGCGGATGCAATGGACTTGTTTGTTGGATTTAAAGCCATGCTGAAGAGGAACAATGTAGAATTCTAATTCGTATTACAGAATTTGAAATACATACAATTCAGATTGGGACATTTATTTTCTTATATAAAGAAATAAAAGATCTGGTATGACTGCCAATGATTTAACTCTCCATCAGCTAAGCTTGTTGCAGATTGAATAACTATTTCTAAAATTTATCAAATATGTTGTAAAGATGGACTACATTTACAATATTGTGGTACACTACAGGGCTTTTGTAAGGAACAATAGTTAAGGTTATGTAGTGAATCAAAGATATGCAATTTGATTGTGAGGATTTTAATTTCACAATTCATATGCGGCAAATTTTTATCAACTTCACATTTATTCATGATTGTTATTTCCAATTCTCCTATTAAGGTGGTACCAAACATTTTCATAAAATTTTGATAAAATATTTACTTTGACCCTTTGACAAAAATATAAAAATTTAAACAAACTTGAACCACACACTTTATCGGGAAAAATTTCATTGTATATATAGCAGTGTGACAAACACTAATTTTGATCATTGAAAAGCTTAATATTTCCTTAACAATAGAACGTGATTAAAACGTTCAGCCGATTTTTAAAGAGTTATCTCCCTGTAATGTTATGTGCCACCTTAAATTGTCTACACAATGAAAATAACACAAATGTCGTGCGCCCGAAGCACTTTTCTGGGCTACACCAGGATCTCTCAGAACCCCAAAACATAAAAGCCAATGATGTATAAACAAATGAAAACAGGAGGAGTTATATATGACTAATAGGAACTTCAGCATGATCGCTAATTTCCACTCAAGTGAAATTTGTCCGAGTACAATTGATTTCCAAATGCTCAAAATTTAAAAACAAACGCGCAAATCCTTTTCCTTTTTGTTATTTAATTGTAAACGATATTACAAAAAATATTAGAATTAATTTTTATTTTTATTTTTCTTGATACTGATATCGTAAGTTTTTATGTATAAATCAGCTTTTCTAAAATGACATATGACAAGTATATGACGACATTCATATACATTAAATTTTCATAGAGTCGACCATGTGCAATACAGTTTATTTTGAATATATTTTTAGCATGATTAGATTTCAAAATGTATTCATATTCTTCGTGAACGTACCAATAACAATAATAAGCCAAAACATTTGTATAAATGTCTATATGCTCATTAATGCATACAGTGTTGGATGTAACAAAAACAATGAGAGAATTTGATATCAATAATAAATATTTGTCATCGTAAGCGTGATAAATTATCAAATTTATATGATGTTTGAAATGCATATCTTTTAAATTGTGCATTTTAATTGTGTAATCCCTGTCATGTACATGATGTATGAACAGCGTTAGCAACTGAATAAAATTCGAAAGAAAAAAATTATTCAAATATGGAATTGATTACCTGAGCTATGCTCTTTAACTAAGTACTTTATTTGGCTTTTTTTTTCTTTTGGCTTCGAGTGTCACTGATGAGAGTCTTTTGTAAACGAAACGCATATTTTGAAAACTTGAAATTAGACAAAACCAGAGGTTCCCTGGATTCACAGTCACCAGGAACGATCATAGCAGAATATCCAAAAACAACTAGGATATAAAAAAACCAAAGCAGTTAAAGAGCTACATGACCAAAAAAGGACCTAGAATAAGTTTCATATCCATCTAAAGGCTAACTTTTTCTGAGGGAGATGAAAACTTAAGTTTCTTAATGATTATACATTGTTTGCAATAATAAAAACGATTATACATTGTTTGCAATAATAAAAACATTGCAAACATTTTTGCATTGACAGTACATAAATACAACTTGTTTTGCTGTAGGGTTTCATGTTTACTTTCACTTTTGTTGTTAACTTTAAAGGCTGACTTAATGCTTGATTGATTTTCTCAAATCAAACCTCCATCAAGATGTGATCTACTTGAGATGTGACCTGCTTGAGATTTGACCTTCTAAATAAACGTACCTTGTTACTTCTTCTGTATGACCTAAATATAGTCGTTGTGTATCCTCTCTATCTTTAACACTGTCTCTATCTTTGTCCTTACTCCTAATGTATTTATACAAAACGACAACAGAAGCAACAGCATACGCGATCTCTCCACTGGATAATACGAAAAGATTGTTGCTGTTTTCTTTTGCGTGGTACCCATATCTTTTGAAAAATTAAGGTATTTAATGCGAATTCACAGCCACGCCCAAAAGGGATTATGACTGTATGAAACACGAATAATTGCATTATTATTGACAAAATAAAATTTACAAATGGACAAGCTAAAAAACTATTCTTTATTTGTATAAACAGTATAGCTAGTACATGGTTGAAAATAAGGTCAATTTATAAAGAATTTGGTGAAGGTACAAGGTATAAAACGAATTGATCATGATTTTTAAAATAATAGATATAAGAAGATGTAGTATAAGTGCCAATGAGACAACTCTCCATCCAAGTCACAATATGTAAAAGTAAACCATTATAGGTCAATGGACGGCCTTCAACACGGAGCCTTGGCTCTTTAATAATCGTAACTCGTCAAAATAATAATCAGGAGATACAGGGGCGGATTCAGCCATTTTTAAAAGGGGGTTCCAACCCAGGAGTAAGGGGGTTCCAAATATATGTCCCTATTCAAATGCATTGATCGTCAAAAAAAAGAGGAGGTTGGACTCCCCCCCCCCCCCCCCCCCCCCCCCAATATTAATGACTATGACTTCTAAGTTGCCCACATCAGTTTTAGGAAGACAAAATAAAACAAAAATTGTCACAAAAAGAAAATGAAATCATGAGCCATAGAATTCACACAGGTTATAATGATAACCTCCTTTCTCAAAGAGGATACATCCATTCAAGTTTCAACTTCCGGTCTGGTTTGCCGGCTTCGTCGTCTGGATATGACATCGATGGTGGGTAGTATCCTGCAAAATAGATATGGAACTCTTACTGTTCTTTTTACATATCGGGCAGTCTTGTTGTCTTTTCAGTTACGTCTGACCGAATCAGTCGGATGAAAATACCTACTCATATGTTTTCATGATGCCCAAATACTGGTTAAGTATAAAAGATATTGTAACACATTTTACATATTTTAGTTCGCTAGAATTTTCAATTTCAAGAATATCAATTTTGAAAGTAATAGCATACCAGTACAAAAAAAACTTGCGAATGGGATACAAAACACAAAAAAGAGCTTATTTTGCCAACTTTTTTACAACTGAGATTCATTGGTCCAAATATGAATAAAGGAGATATTGGGTATACGTCAACGAGACAGCAACCCAACGACAAAAGACATCTAGTGGACAAGCTACAGTGTTAAAAAAATATAAGGGATGACAACAACAACAACAAAAAATCAAGTGAAAAAACAAAATATAATGTATCAAAAAAAAGCTTTCAAAGATTATTCAAAACTTTGAAATACGTTCTTGGAAAACTTGGCCTTACCGCACGACGTACGAATATGGGAATGAACACCATAATACGGCCTGTGTTGATGGGACATACAAAAACTATATATTGCTATCAATCAGCACTTTGACATAGTGTTATATGCAGACTGTTTATTATACATACGTCTTATCTTTCCATTGATGAGTACACTGGCTGAGTCGTCTTCTAAGTTATTGTCTGATCTACTGGTACTAAAACCATTTTCCATTGGCGGTGGGGAATCTGAGTTGGAACTACCAGACATGTTTAGTTCATCAATACTCTGCAACTCTACAGAAATTAAACATCAAAATGCTAGACATGTTTAGTTCATCAATACTCTGCAACTCTACAGAAATTAAACATCAAAATGCTAGACATGTTTAGTTCATCAAAACTCTGCAACTCTACAGAAATTTAACATCAAAATACAAGACATGTTTAGTTCATCAATACTCTTTAACATTTAAAGAAATTTTACTCCAAAGTACCAGACATGTTTAGTTCATCAATACTCTGTAAATCAACAGAAATTAAACATCAAAGTATCAGACATGTTCAGTTCATTAAAACTCTGCAGCTCTACAGAAATTAAACAGCAAAACGCCAGACATGTTTAGTTCATTAAAACTCTGCAGCTCTACAGAAATTAAACAGCAAACGCCAGACATATTTAGTTCATTAAAACTCTGCAGCTATATCTCAAATTGTATATTAAACAAGAATGATGACATTTTGAATCAGGGAACCAGATTAGCATCTTTAATTAGACGCTGGTATACTTTCACATTTGTGAGGCATTGAATAATTTATCAGTGAAGGTAAAACAGTAAAAACTAAAATCTGATTATACAAATTAGATGAACGAAAGCGACTCATGCTGCTTTGATTTACGAAAGATAAGGAATTATGTGAAATTTGAGGGTCTGGGTGGGGGTTCTTCAATTCTATATTCTTCAATTTAAGCCATTTTTCTCTATCCTTTTGTCCAATATTCTCCATCCTTTCTATTTTAGTCCCCATTTTTCTCTATCCCTTATTTTTTGGTCCCTTTTTGTTGTAGTATTGGCCAATATTCTCTACCCTGTAAACCCCAGCAAGATCCTCATATAATGAACTTACTGTCTGAGTTGTTGCTACCATGGTAACTATTCCTATCTGTTGGGTCTTCTCCTTCTTGGCAAGCAATAAACATGTCATGGTTTTTAAATTCACGGAAGAGCTGCGAAAAACTAACAACCTACAAAATTTATGTGTATGCTTAATATAAATCTTTATTTCATCTCATTTTTAAAACGAAAAATATTTACGGAATGACTGTGATATTTTCTCTGTCTATGAAGAAATAACATCAAAAATGTGGTGCACACTGAATAATTATTTAAAAGTTTTCACCACATTTTTGAGGTTATTTCAAAGAGACAGAAAATATAACAGTCATTCCTTATAATTTAATTCTAAATTTCATTTTTAAGGAGGAATTAAATCATGAAAAATTCGTTGACGACGTCACGGTCACATGACAAAATTATGTCGACAAAAGACTTTCAGCCAATCAGAAGACGTGTTACATCAAGATTAAATTATTTGGTAATAGCAGTAATTGAATTTAGAAAATTATTGATTTGATTTGAATGCAACAGGATTTGCGGAAGATAAGCAATAGCCAATTTTCTAACAAATAGCAAAACAAATATTTGTTTTAAGCTGAATAAACTAATTATTAAATGAAAATCATCATACAAATTTTACAGGTTTCGCTATAATATTTATAAACCGCTTTCATTTAAATCTTCCAAATTGTCCAAGTATGGTTCAGTATTGTCTGGATTCGTTGATTTTTGAAAGACTTTTTTAGTATGACCAAAGAACATAAACCACATTCACTAAAAGAAAGTATCAGTATAAATCGACGTTATATGGAGTCATTTTTTTCTACCTCCAGGCCCTAAAAACTGTTTGTGTTCCTAATAACTGAATGGTCTAGTACATTTAACACATTGAGGGATGGACATCATGCAGTACATAGGTCCAGAAACAGTTGGGTGTGGAATTTTTGTTTTATGAATAAAAAGTGATGTAATATCTACGTCAACAAGACAGCATCCGAACGACAGAAATAACAAAAAGACATCTAGATGGCAACATACGTATACTTATTCGATATAAAGTACGAAATTGCAATGTTAAAAGTTCTTTTATTGAAAAAAGTAAAGGGTATACCTTTTATTATACAACTTCTCAAGATGATATCTAGGATTTTAATTGTAGATTGAGATGGAATGTATAATAGGTATCTCTTCATACTTCTAAAGACCAAGTAAGACAGAAGCTTCAGGATCAAAAGGACTATGAGAAATTTCATTGTTAGTACCGCAAAATTAAAATAATGTCACGTCGTTGGTTTAGATTCCATTGTTTAGGGTGTTGTCAGCCAATCACAACGTTTTGGTGTACACTTTTAAAAATATTACCCAGAATGCATCAGATTCTGAAATGGCGAATTGCAGAATGCTGACAATTTGAACAAGAAGAATTAAGTAAAACCTACCTTTCTGAAAGGCTTCCGTCGTGTATACAAGGAATCTACATTCATATTGATTAGGTCACCTATTATGCACAGAATATCTTCAAAGTTTTGTTTTGTTTGTGGGTCTATTATCACTTTCTCTTTCAGCTCTTTCCTAGAATTATTTTCCACAGTTATTACACGTGCTTTGCGCGTGGGTGACTGAGTCGGTGACGTTGGTCTTTTAAAAAGATGAACTTCATCTTTCCTTACTTTGCCTGGTGATGGTCGCGCTGATGTCCAATCCGTCTCTCTAGAGTAACCATACGGCAGTTTTATATTAGGCTTTTTTACACTAGATGCCAGATATGCCTTCCCGTGTTTGAACTCGGTCACGCTTTTGATTTCTTTTCCGTCAGGTAGGGAGAAAACATATCTTACTCCTGCTGTGGTAGGGATTTTACCATTTAAGAACACTAATAAAGTTTCAAAGTTCCTGAAATCGTTTTGACTAATACTTATGCTGATCCCTCTGAAGTTTATGTCGCCATTTCGAAAAAACGTAACTCTCCTGCCTTTTTTAGAATCTTCTTTTTTCGTTCCGCCAACTGTCTCGTATCGTTTCATCTCGTTTTGCGCGTGATTTTGAGACATGTAGACTTCCGTGGCCGGTCGGTGTTCTGGATAGACAGCGTCTTCATCGTCACTTTGCACAACCTGTACTTCACTCTGAAAAAATAATCTAGTGTGAGAACGGTATAACATTTGGAAAAATTTCGCAAGTTATCTTACAAAAGACCCCTTTATAACTGACAAACGTGTTATCATGAAAACAAGCACTGTTAACGGAAAAACGTATCGCCGTGAGGAAACTCAATGTAAAACCTCTAAACATGACATTTCTAATCGTGAGGAAACGCACTGTAAAACAGACAAACATGTCACCGTGAAGTAACGCACTGTAAAACGACAAACGTGTCACCGTGAAAAATGCACTGTAAAACCTCTAAACATGACACTTGTAATCGTGAAGAAAAGCACTGTAAAACATACAAACATGTCACCATTAACTAACGCACTGTAAACAGACAAACGTATCACCATGAAGAAACGCACTGTACACCTGACAACCATATCACTGTGAAGTAACGTACCGTTTAACCGAAATACATGTCACCGTGAAGTAACGCACTGTCAAACCGACAAACATGTCACCGTGAAGAAACGCACTGTAAAACCTCTATAAAACATGACATTTGTAATCGGTGAGAAACGCATTGTAAAACCGACAAACGTGTCACCGTGAAGAAACGCACTGTAAAACAGACAATCATGTCACAGTCAAGAAACGTACTGTAAAACCGACAAACATGTCAGCCTGAAAAATTGCACTGTAAAACCGACAAACATCTCACCGTGAAGTAACGCACTGTAGATCCGACAAACATCTAACCGTGAAAAAAACCGCCCTGTAAAACCGACACATTTGTCAACATGAAGTAACGCACCGTAGATCAGACAAACATCTCACTGTGAAAAAAATGCACTGTAAAACCGACACACACGTCACCGTGAAGAAACACAATGTGATACTGACGAAGATTCTCACTGTGTTACTTGCAAACAACTCGTCACAACGAATTTTTAGTACATGCCAGGCTGCTGGTAATGAAGTGTTTTCAAAATGTATGACCTAATCTTATGAATTGGTTGTAGAAAGTTTTCTTTCAGAATATAATTAGAATCTGACGTTTGATTTAACTCTGTATTTTATTTACCATAAGCAATACGACGGGTGTAACTAGTGTAACAGAAACTTCTGAACCTTCCAGGGCACACGACTTAACCCGCGGTCTTTCTGTTGTGTTATTGTTTTATTTTAAGTTTTTTATGTAGCGTTTTGTTGACAATTACTTGTCTTTATGATGGTCTGGATGGGGGTCCTTCATTTCTATATTCTTTAATTTTTATGCTATTTTTCTCTATTCTTTACACTTTTTGCCAAATATTCTCTATTCTTTATATTTTAGCACCTCATTATTCTTTATTCTATATTTTTTTTATCCGTTTTTCTCTTTTCCTTATATTTTCGTGTTTTACAATATGTCTTTTTAATTCATTTTGTTGGCAAGGACGTCTCACGAATAAGAAAAGTAACATTTAACGAATAAAAAAAAACATTCCAATAAAATCATACACAAACACCTATACTGGAAACTAACATACACACATCTAATTCATAACCCAATCCGATTTCTATGATTAATGAATAAAATGGAGTTAAAACAAGTCCTTGGTCGATCAAAAGATCCTTAACGGGTACCGTAATATCATAATTTTATAATTTAGTGTTAAATGTAAAAAATATAACATAAACTCTTTTTAATAGAAGACGAGAGAAAAAAGAAAGGAAAACAAAAGCCGCGAAATCGTAAAAAACGTGAATGGGTACCATTATCTTAAGTAACAACACCGCCAAATATATCAAATTCTCCTAATTTGGAACCATATATTGTACACAATTATTGATATCAATTCATGAATCAATGAAATAGTACAAGACAAGACAACTTAAAGATGTAAAAAAAAATTATAAAAAAAAGAAATTGTACTAACCCAGTTTTCTGAATCCGTTAATCTGGCTCTATACATTGTAATAGCAGTAAACTCAAAACCACAAGAACAAATTAAAGCCAAACAACAGTGTGTATGTTACAAATGACTAGATAATATGAATCAATATATTATCCAAGGAAAAACAATAACTTTTCAAACTTTGCCAGTCAAGTGTTTCTTGTTGAAATAAAATATTTAAAACTTATTCTGTTTAAGTTAATTGAAATTTAATAAGGAAAAAACACAAATCCCATGAGTAAAAAGTCATGTCGAATATAAAACATATTTCAAATGATATGTAATTATCTACAAAATTATGAATTTTAAAAGTCCCTTTGGTATCTTTCGCCTCTCTTTTAATTAGTCGTATTGATATCATCATGATAATGACGTTGCTGTTGTTAACTCAGTTTATACTCGGGAGGCTTATGCGTTTTTTTAGAAAAGTTATAAAAAAAAAAGGAATGTTCAACTGTCAGCATACAACAAAACCATTAAACTAATTTGTATACATAAATCTACCCTGAATGCGAGAAAATGATATTTTATAAATTTATAAATAATATATACCTATTACAATGGTAAATAATAATACGGGATGAATAAGACATTACTGAATTAATAAACACTGATCGTACACAAACTTGAATAAAACATTACTGATTTAATAAACACTGATGAAACACAACCTTGAATAAAACATTACTGAATTAATAAACACTGATCAAACAAACTTGAATAAAAGATTAATGAATCAATTAACACTGATCAAACACAAACTTGAATAAAACATTACTGAATTAATAAACACTGATCAACCAAACTTGAATAAAACATTACTGAATTAATAAACACTGATTAAACAAACTTGAATAAAACATTAATGAATTAATAAACACTGATCAAACACAAACTTGAATAAAACATTATTGAAAATAAACACTGATCAAACAAACTTGAATAAAACATTACTGAATTAATAAACACTGATCAAACAAACTTGAATAAAACATTAATGAATTAATAAACACTGATCAAACACAAACTTGAATAAAACATTATTGAGTTAATAAACACTGATCAACCAAACTTGAATAAAACATTACTGAATTAATAAACACTGATCAACCAAACTTGAATAAAACATTACTGAATTAATAAACACTGATCAACCAAACTTGAATAAAACATTAATGAATTAATAAACACTGATCAAACACAAACTTGAATAAAACATTACTGATTTTATAAACACTGATCAACCAAACTTGAATAAAACATTACTGAATTAATAAACACTGATCAAACACAACCTTCAATAAAACATTACTGAATTAATAAACACTGCTGAAACACAACCTTGAATAAAACATTATTGAAATTAATAAACACTGATCAAACAAACTTGAATAAAACATTACTGAATTAATTAACACTGATCAAACACAAACTTGAATAAAACATTACTGATTTTATAAACACTGATCAAACACAACCTTCAATAAAACATAACTGAATTAATTAAAAAACCTTAGTGAGCGCGCTCACATACCCCACGTCCCCACATTGTCATTGGAGAAATAAAATATGTGTAAGAAAAAAAAATTGTATAAGAAAAAAAAATTGAATCATAATTTCCTGTCAATATGCACATGTTCATAGTATGTCCGTATTATCTACAAAGTTTCAAGAAATTATGTTGTGTGGTTTCAGAGGAGTTGCGATGAAAACTGTTGCAGAAGTACATTGAAGCAAATAAGTTCAAAGGGGCGTAACGCCTAGAAAAAAATTGAATTATAATTTCTTGTCGATATGCACATCTACATAGTATGTCCTTATTATCTAAAAAGGTTTCATGAAATTATGTTGTGTGGTATCAGAGGAGTTGCGATGACAAACTGTTGCAGTAGTACATTGAAGCAAATAAGTTCAAAGGGGCGTAACTCCTAGAAAAAAAATTGAACCGTAATTTCCTGTCGATATGCACATCTACATAGTATGTCCTTATTATCTAAAAAGGTTTCATGAAATTATGTTGTGTGGTATCAGAGGAGTTGCGATGACAAAATGTTGCAGTAGTACATTGAAGCAAATAAGTTCAAAGGGGCGTAACTCCTAGAAAAAAAATTGAACCGTTATTTCCTGTCGATATGCACATCTACATAGTATGTCCTTATTATCTAAAAAGGTTTCATGAAATTCTGTTGTGTGGTATCAGAGGAGTTGCGATGACAAACTGTTGCAGTAGTACATTGAAGCAAATAAGTTCAAAGGGGCGTAACTCCTAGAAAAAAAATTGAACCTTAATTTCCTGTCGATATGCACATCTACATAGTATGTCCTTATTATCTAAAAAGGTTTCATGAAATTCTGTTGTGTGGTATCAGAGGAGTTGCGATGACAAACTGTTGCAGTAGTACATTGAAGCAAATAAGTTCAAAGGGACGTAACTCCTAGAAAAAAAATTGAATCGCAATTTCCTGTCGATATGCAAAACTACATAGTATGTCCTTATTATCTAAAAAGGTTTCGTGAAATTCTGTTGTGTGGTTTGAGAGGAGTTGCGATGACAAGAAACAGGACTGACGGACTGACGGACTGACGGACAGACGGACGGACGGACGGGTCAAAAATATTATACCCTCCGCAACTCGTTGCGTGGGGTATAATAAACACTGCTGAAACACAACCTTGAATAAAACATTACTGAATTGATAAGCACTGATAAAACACAACTTGAATAAAACATTACTGAATTAATAAACACTGATCAAACACTAACTTGAATAAAACATTAATGAATTAATAAACACTGATCAAACACAACCTTGAATAAAACATTACTGAATTAATAAACACTGCTGAAACACAACCTTGAATAAAACATTTTTGAAATTAATAAACACTGATCAAACAAACTTGAATAAAACATTACTGAATTAATTAACACTGATCAAACACAAACTTGAATTAAACATTACTGATTTTATAAACACTGATCAAACACAACCTTCAATAAAACATTACTGAATTAATAAACACTGCTGAAACACAACCTTGAATAAAACATTACTGAATTGATAAGCACTGATAAAACACAACTTGAATAAAAC